AAAAGGATTAATCTAGCTCACAACATTCGGAGATCTACGAATTCTAAGAGTCTTAAAGAGGACGTCAACCCTGAACCCTTTTTAGCCTACATGTAGAATCTCATAATAAGGGTAATATGATTTCGACATGGTGTGAAGTGAACGCACCTAAACTAGATAACGTTAGTTATCGCACTCATAATAACTAGACTAGAGCATGGCTTCTGACACTCGCTCCTCCTGGATGTTGTGGATAGTGAAAGTACATGCTTCTGGTGGTTTACCGATGTCGTCTTCTTTATCGTCCCTAGTAAGTTACCAGGCGATTTCCAGTTCACACTCTCTTTGAGAGATTCCTAAAGCTCCAGTCCGACTAGCAAAGTATGTAGCCTAGATGAAGCAGCAACGCGCATCTTGCGGAAGAGGCACCGGATATAATGTGCTGTGGAACCGTCTCAGGTCGGAACGCCCCTTTCTCCAATGCCATGCATGGGTTCCCATTCGATCTACGTCTCGATAAAAGACGTATCTTGGCACATCATTCCTGTCAAAACAAGCTGTCAAACTGTCCGTGAAAGCATTACGTCAAGTGACACACACTCTAACTGAATGTTAAATTTGACCACAAGATGGCACTATAATTTAATAAATCACGTCACTGGAGCTGTGACTTCACATCAGTAAGCATTTGTGTGAGAATATCATGTATGAGAATATCATAAAAACATGCAGGTTAGGGCACAACGTAACACGTTTTGACTTTGTCAATTTATGTAAATCTACTTAGGGTTTAGAGAAATGTTTTCCCCACATTATGTCTAGTAGCCTAAAATTATGTGGTTTTGTTTTATTAATTCAGTGTATACTTTTTTCTTGATTTACCCTGAAAGAATGGAAGTGAAATGTGACAACATGCCCCATAGGTGGTCTACATTGTAACATGTGAGGGGCACATTGTAACATTACCATATAACAGCTTAAAATGCTATCTGATCTAATAAAAATATATACAAGTCAAACCAAACTATTTTCTAAATAAAATACAATTATTAACTTTTTCGTATAAAAAATGGCATTTTTAATCATTAAAAATATACTAATTTTTGAGTTTGACAACAAACACACCGGAAAACACAGCTATACAGCATAGTTCAAAACAAAATAGTAATAATTTCTGAACATTGACTCTCAGTCTTTGTTTACATGTTTCTCTTGTTTTCTCAATAGAATCCATAAAAGTATAGAATATAATAGCATATTTTTAATAGGGACACATTGTAAAGCAGTGTTACAACATGCCCCAACTGCACAACTGGGGTTTAAACCCTGCTAGTGTCTTCTGCAAGTTAGCGAAGCATTATATCAACTGTTAAACAACAGATTGGAGATTAAAATAATATCCGATTTGTCTAATTTTAAATAAACACAAAAATAAAGATGAAAATTAACTTAAGTAATGTACTTTTGCTGGTTAAATAAATGTTCAGTGATATCTTACAAAGATTTTGGCGTAATTTTTTTCTCTATAGGCCTACTGTTGAAATGGCAACTAGTAAATACACCAAGTTTCGTCATGCTAGCATGTAGCCTAAGTATTTAAAACAACTAGCCCCGCGTTACATTGTGCCTCGCGCTCCCCTATTTTATTTTCTTAATTTGAAATCATGACATCATTAGGCTAAATGCAACATTAGCTACTCTCAATTTATCACATGTTGCATGCACCTAAATTATTTTTTACAGTAATTCTCATTTTTACTGCTGTAATCAGTGTTGTTGATTTAAACTACAAAAATATAATAGAAATAAAATATCAGTGTTGACAAACAAACAAAAACACTAATTGTATATGAAGAGTTCAGATGCAAAAGCCTCTAAATGCCATTTGAAATTTTCTTCTTTAATGATGATTTTTATCAAACTTGTATATTTAAGTTCAGTAATTTCACTTAAATGACAATTAATAGGTAATTATCATTGCCATTTAAGTGAAATCACTGAACTTAAATATACAAGCTTGATAAAAATGATCATTCTAGAAGAAAATTTCAAATGGCACTTAGAGGCTTTTGCATCTGAACTCTTCATATATAGGCCTACAAATACTTTACCATATCACAGAAGTTTTGGGATTCTGTTCTGTGGAGCGATGAAATAAATCTGTAAACATAAGCATCCAAGTCTATTACTTAAAGCAGCAGGGGGCTGGAAAGTGCTTGTTAATAGACGCGTACGCTCTGGTTATTATTCATTCCAATGTCCACACACAAGTTAATATGCTCTAATTTTATCAATTCAGTAACAAATTATCCAAAGAGAGACCCCTACTGGTCACAGACTTACATAAAGTTTAAATAAAGATAAAATGGCTCTTACAGTAACTAACTTCTCAGCTCTTTGGATCAGTCTGGAGTGGTGACTGTCTCCAGCTTATCATGGTGGTGCTCAATGATGCTCTGGGACAGCTTTGCATGCTCTGGCATTGGAAACCTGCATTGGGTGGAAGGCAGATGGATTCTTAGAATTATATCAGGAAGGCTTCTCAAACTCGGTCCTGGAGCGCCGCTGTCCTGCAGAGTTTAGCTCCAACCCTGATCAAACACACCTGAGCAAGCTAATCAAGGTCTTCAGGAAAAATTTGATCAGGAAAAAAAAAAAACACCTCAGCAACATTAGAACAATCAGTACATTCTACAACATGAACAAAACTTACAACAGGGTTGAGGAGTGGGGATGGAGGTAGCCCAGCAGGCAAGCAGCCATCCGGTCCTGCAGCCATTCTCGGCGCTGGTCACAGACCCGCCTGTCAGACTGGGGGCTACAAAGCGGCGAGGGATGGGGTGTGGGACGGATAATTGCATATCTGTGTGTATGTGTAGGCCTGGAAAGTCGCTATAGTATAGACCATTTTGCAAGATGTAAACAAAACTGGTCCAGAAGCACTTCCTGTTTCAGTTTTTTAACACTACATAAAACATGTACAACCAACAGAACATATAAAACTGAATCAAAAAGATTTTTTCTTTACATGTGAAATAAAGAAAACAGTTACAAACTGAAACCGGAAGTGTTTCTGGACCAGTGTTGTTTACATCTTGCAAAATGGTCTAAATGCCTGCATCATAATCTATGTGCCTCAAGTCCGCAGGATTGTCATAGCGATACACAGCAAGTTGCCATGGAGAAAACCTTGATCAGATCTCAGACAGAGTCAACAATCACCAGGTGATTCAACAAGAGCGGCTCACTGCAGTGCTCTTCCGGTGGAGTTGTTGTTCCAACAGCGGCCTTGGCCATGGCCAGTGCTGGTTGAGGGCGGCCAAAAACAGAAAAGATTGGGATTGTTTGGTCTTGGGTCAAAACGCTGCATTCAATTTACACTGCTAATTCTTATGGTCTCTGGTCTCCGAAACAATCCATATCCTTCTGCAAAGCTGTGAGCTTCTCCATGATGTTATCCATTTTGATAATGATCAATGAACCGTTTGGTTCCCAATGAAAATCCTTCACTTCAAAAACCTTCATTTCTTTTCGACTGAAGAAAGAAAGACGTGGATATCTTGAATGACATGGGGGTGAGTAAATTATCAGCAAATTATTATTACATACTCCTTTATGTAATAATGAGTCAATGATGACAATAGCTAAAAGTGATGTTCCAACATGTTGACCCACTGTGGGAAAGTGCATGGTGGCATATTCCATCTCCAGGTTTGCTCAACACAAAAACCTTTAGATTGTTGATTGTTGCTGATCTGATCCTGTCAGGTCCCTCTGCCATCTGTGACAGGAGCGCTCCTGTCCCCAATCCGCACGATTATGAACTATGGCACTACCTGATGCTAAGGAGGTCAAGTTGAATCCAAAAACTTGCCAAAAAGAAAAGATTGTCAAATATTTCTGTATGGAATAATGTTAATATACGTATAATATCACGGTTTAAGTGGATTTAAATGCTAGAGAAGTATTTCCATTTTATAAAATCATCAACTGTTTGGTCAAACGATTTATAAAGGAAGCACAGGATATAAATCAAGGAAGGGTGGATTTACAGGAAGCAGTCAGACAATCTAAGCTTCTTTATCTGCAGGCTCAGCAGGAAAACACATTAATATGCTTACATGAGCCTCCAATAAACTTTTCTCTTATGACACATGCATGCCAAAGAGTTAACTTGTGATTGCTTGCGTATTTCAGTTTGGGGTTTTTGAACTGCTGCAGCCATACATTTTTTAGATGATGACATTGCTAAAAGGCAAAAACCTACATCAACAAATAAAATTCGGCCAGAAAAACTCATACAGGTTTAGACAAACAAAGGAAAAGAGGACATCACATTTTTCAAAATTAAGTGAATTTATGATTTAAAAAATCTGCCAATAGGGTCAGAAAAATAATCTTGTTGTCCCTTCAGATTAAGTTTATTTTTCTGAATCCATGATAGATTTAAGCACAAATTCACTTAATTTTTCTTTCTTTTTTTCTCAGAAAAAAAAAAAAATAGATGTATTGTATTGGAAAGCAAAACAAAAACATGAAAAAAATGCCATAAAAAATAAGCAGGAAAATAAATGTTTGAACAAACCTTTCAATTAGTGAGCAAAGTAAGCCTGCTTTGAGAAATAAAATAAAAGCAAGGACTGAGGACACCCTGGACCTCGATGTCTGGACAAAGATGGAATCAAAGTTAATTGTGAGTGACCAATTTATCCTAATCCAGGTGTCTCAACAGACTACAGCAGAAAAGACAGATCAGCAGCCTAATGTCATCCACATAAACTCTATCAGGTTAAACCCTTTAGAGGTAAGAGGACTGAAAACAAGAGCAAAAACAGTTGATGTTAATATTTTAAGAGAAAAAAAACAAACATATTTTATAAAAACAAAAAACTTTAAAGTCACAGTATAGCAAAGTGATGTCACATATCCATGACTGCTTTTATCTGAGAGTAACACTCTTATTAGTCCGTATTACAACCCACCCAACTCCTCCTCCCCTTCTGCTTATCTAGCTGCAGTCAGAATTTCAGTTTAGAGCAGTCAAGGAAACGTTGAATACAACATCAGCAGCGTCATGGTTTCAGATAGATGTGTAGATGAGAAATTTTGGGATAGTAATAAGTATGATTGTCTGCGATGCGAGTCTAAATATAAAATCCTAGCAGGTAAGTCTCAAATTCAGTGTCAATCGTCTCCTTATTTACCTAAAAGTTCATTCGAGTTTTTTGTTTTATGTAGGCTAAGGCTGTGTTGTTGTAGCTAGGGTTGCCAACTTCCGAAAAGAAAAATGCGGGACAATTAGGGTCATTATTACAATATTTTGGTGATCGTTCTCTCTCTCTCTCTCTCTCGCTCTCTCTCTCTCTCTCTCTCTGTCTCTCTCTCTCTCTCTCTGCGCTGGCGCACATTCTGTCTTGCATTCTTTTACGGGCATCAGTATGCGGGATTTTTGCTGTTGTATCCGTCAGAACAGCGTAGGTAGCACTCAATAATCGGGACAAGAGAGGATCGTACGGGACCATATTGGGCCCAATAATTGGGACGTCCCGTCTAATTTGGGACAGTTGGCAACCAGCCAATGAAGTTGTTGTTTACGTCCTCAAGTGGAGACAATGCCTATAAAATGATTTTGTGACCGACGAAAATGTGCGCATTTAATCGTTTTAAACTTTGGAAGACCACTGAAACATATAGGCTAACTATTAAATTTTTTTTTTTTTTTTTTTAGGCTAACTATTAAATGAAACAAAAAATATTATAGTTGTTTTTTAACGGCAGGTTTCGAATTCACTGAAAACTGCGGCTGGTCGGACGATCAACGACAAATCAAGTCACCTTACAAACCATGCAAAAATGGGACATATAACAACGGATCTCACGTTAAATGCCTCAAATGCTCCTCATGCACAACGCCGTTTATTGCATGCAACACAACCTCTGACACCATCTGCTGTAAACAAGGGTACGTTTTATTTATTTATTTATTTTTTACATTTACATTACATATTACATTTATTATGCATGTAGGCCTACTAGGCTAGTTTTGTTGTTTTTAACTGCACTAAGATGAATTCAGTTTAATCAAACGATAATTAAACTTATGAAAATCGAAAACTAGTTTATAACGGATTGCTTATTATTTTGTTCCCATTTAAGTGGTACAGTAGCCTAGGATAAAAGCGAGCTTTAAATCTGCTTGTCTTGTTCTTTTCTTTCTTTTTTTTTTTGTAGGGAGGTGGTTTTCGATGGAAAATGCACCACTCAGCCATTGCAGACCACCGTGATAACAGTAAGATTGAAACTTACTTGGCTCTCCCTTTGTCCAACAGTGCTCTCGCCTCTCATCTCCGAGAGAGTTATTATATAAGCTTTAGTAAAACCTAAATACGCCATTTTCACATTGTACGCCGTTTTTATAGACCGTGAGTAGGACTACTACTACTACTACTGCTGCTGCTGTTACTGCTGCCTCTGTTGCTACCACAACAAGCATCCCTCAATCTCCAATCCTCCCTCATGTTGTGACAGGTACATCTCTACAACAACACCATACATATAGCCTACTCTTGAAAAGTGTGGCGCTGTAAGCTAGAACTTTCTAAATGTTTTTGAAAGAAATATCTTCCAGTAGACAGTACCTAGACTATATTTGAAAACATGGGTTGCTTGATAATTTCTGGAATATTTTCAAGATTTTGAAAACATTTCAAGATTATTTAACGAATAAAAAGTTCTAAAAGCACAATTTATTTGAAATGGAGCTTTTTTGTAGAAACGAAATCTCTTTGCTGCCACCTTTGATCACTTCAGTGCATGATCGCTGAATTAGTTTTAATTTCTTTAAAAAATCTTTCAACAGTAGAATGCATATTTAAAGTATCAGTATTCAGTGCTTGGTGTTGATCTGATTCTGTAGTACATGTCAAAATGTAGCCTTTACAATACAAACACAGCACGAGAGAAAGAAATGTAGAATGTGTTGGATTCTATGTAAAACAAAAGTACAATTTATATTTTTCTTTTCAGGGATCTATGTGTGTTTAGGGATTTTATTCACTCTCACTCTGGTATGTCTGTTCTTGGTTATTAAGAGGAGGACAACAAAACATTTAAATAAAGGTCAGTCACAAGAACTATTTGAAGGATGTCCTGAGAGCTAAATATTATTGTTTCCTGCCATGCCTGACCATGGCTGATCCAATATACTGTATACATTATATTGAAATAATTTAAATGTTAGTTTTAGATGCTGACATGAGACAAAACAAGTAAGCCATTCATAAACATATTCCTCAGAGAAGTTATCCTGGATGCCGGCCGAACTTAGCCTTAGCATTTGAGGTCGGGAAGAATCGTAATATTCAGACTTAATCCGAGTATCTGAAGAAGTGTGTTCTCTCAAAACTTTTTGTTTTTGGCAGGATTTCTTATGTGTTTTGGAATGTAATATTGGCAAGTGTTGTATGAAACAGTCATCATTTATATACAGTATATATATATATATATATATTTATTTATTTATTTATTTATAAATCTCCTTTTCTTTTAAGAGTGCATCTTTAACTTATCTTTTTAGTATGCCATTATTTCAATTTCTACATCACAAAGGCTTGAGTGCTACTATGAAGCAATATGTAATGAATTACAAGATTAAAGAAAGGTAATAACAGTAATGTCTTGTTTTCACAGAATTTCAAAAACGTAATGGAGCAGTTCTGGAAAGTCTGTCCAAAAAGGGCATCAAGGGATATGAACAGTCCATGTCATACAACATAATCAAAGAAAGCGATAACTTGACTGGATCTGCGTATCTGTTAGGTGGGTGTATGGAAAAAAACAAACTACAGTAGTTTCATTTGACCCTAGATGAAACCACTCCTTTCAGGTGTGATCACAGTAAATTTCCTTGGGAGAAGGCTGGTGTTTTTCCATAAACATCTAATTCAGTAACACCTTATTTCAATAGTCCACATTCTACTAACTATAGTAACTTTGCATCTCCATGTTAACTAGCAGTCATTAGAGTATTAGTAGACGGTCCTATTTTGATTTGTAGATTATGTCCCACTACAGACTATAATTACTTTGCAACTACGTCAACTTATTCAGTAACACTTTATTTGGTCCCACTTTATATTAAGTGGCTTTAAGTACTATATACTTACATTGAAATTAATAATTTGATACGATGGACTTATTGTGTACATACATGTTTTTACATTGTACTAATATTTTAAAAATACCAGCATGTAATTACAGCTATAATTACTTCATGTAATTACATTTGTAATTACACAGTTGACCCTCCACTCACACCTTAACCTACCCTTAAACCAACCCATCCCACCACACCTGTCCCTAACCTTACCCGTATCACACCTCAATGGCAGCAAAAGTGTTTTACAATACAACAGGAACGCAATAATACAGTGTACTTATTGTTCAATGTAAGTACATAGTACGCAAAGCCACTTAATATTAAGTGGGACCCTTTATTTTAAGGTGATGTAGTTACATTGTACCTACTCTAGTAAGTACTGAGTAAAATTATTTCTTACTAGAGTTATGGTTAGGGTTTGGTTTAGGTTAGATACTTGTAATTATGCTTAATTTAGTGTTTATTAATACTATAAGTTCAACTTATTCTACCAAATCTAACCTAATAATGGTAAATAAATGGGTTAGTTGACATGTAGTTGCAAAGTGTAACCCCTAATTTCATTTATATTCACAGCTCCTGAGATCCAGGGTGCACCTTTAAAAACTGTGCTGAACAACCTGGATGTTCTGGAGGAGCTTGTGCTGGTTTTAGACCCGGACATCTCCGGTGCTAAAAATACACGTCACCTTGCCGCCCAGTGCTCTTTTTCCTTTGCCTGGATCAATTACGCATATTCCATGAAGGACCACAAAAGTCCACTTGTCACCGTTTTGGAGGGTGTCGTCACCAAGAACCCAGACTGGACCGTCGGCCACCTTGCTGAGCTGTTAACCGCTATCGATCGCAACGATGCCGTGGAGATTTTGGCAAAGCTCCCTGCTGGTGTCGAAGAATAACTAATGTGGTATTGTAAGAAAACAACGCAGTATTATATAGTATTGTTCAACTCGCTCATTGCAATTCGTAACTTCTCACAGACAAAAAAAAAAAAAAAAACCTATACCTTCAGTGGGAGCCTACAACGGCTTGTCACGACTGGGGCAGTACCCTTAAAGGGGTGGTTGATTAGGATTTCACTTTTTTAACTTTAGTTAGTGTGTAATGCTGCTGTTTGAGCATATACAACATCTGCAAAGTTACAATGCTCCAAGTTCAAAGTAAAGGGAGATATTTTATTTGATAGAAATTGCTTTTTAAGAACTACAACAAACGGCTGATAGGGACTACAATGGACTTTTTTTTTGATGTACATAAATCCTGCCCCCCATTTACATACAGTAAACCATGCAATTTATAGCATTTATACCATGCGGTAAAAGTTTTTTTTGACATTTGCAACAATCTGTGTGAGGTATTGGAGCTGCTCACACACACACACACACACACACACAAGCTGTTGAAGCTCCGCCCTCTGTGTCGGGAGAAGCAGCTCGTTTTTTGTTTAAAGGGACAGACACGAAAACAGAGCGTTTTTGCTCAACCCCCAAAAGTAAAATATTTATAGCATGCTCTAAAACAATATCTGCGGGGGATTTTGAGTTAAAACTTCACATACACACTCTGGGGACATCAGAGACTTAATATTACATTTTGTGAAAAGGGCATTTTAGGACCCCTTTAAAATGACATACTTTTTTACCACAAAAAAAAAAAAAGGTTAATAGTAGTACCTATTTGTACTCTAAGGTACTATTATAAACCTATTAAATATTCATATATGTCATTTTAAGGGCACTGCCCCAGTGACAAGCTGCAAATTTACACACCTATTTTCTCTGTATATTGTACACTTTGGTGTAAAACATCATGGCGTTGAGTTATAATTTTTGGATATTCAATAACAAGATTCAGAGACGCACCCAATGTGAACCTCTACAGTGGTTTGGACTGAAAACAGCAAAAAACAAATGTATAATGGGTAACAGATGTGTGCGTGTGTTTTGGCAAAGTACATTTAGCAAAGTACATTTTTCTACATGGTTTTCAGTCTAGTTCAACTTTGTTAATGTTTACTTTTGTATATGTCAAAATATTAACTTTTTATTCAATACTACTACATTCCTGAATTTATATATATATATATATATATATATATATATATTTGTATATTAACTTTTCTATAATATTATTCTCATTTAATTCCATTTTATAAAAAAAATAAAATAAAATAAAAAATCAGGTTTTGGCCACAACCAATATCTTTGGTTATTATTAGTAATGCACAATTGATGCTTTTTGTATGCTCAAAAAACACAATAAATCTTGAACTTTGTTCAAACATTGTACATCTTTATTAAGCAAAAACATTATAAATAAAAAAGTGCATAGAAAAATTAAACAGGTTTAGAAATATTTATACAACTATTTACAAACTTAGGGGTCATTTGTACAAGGTAGCAAAGACACTTTTTTTTTTTTTTTTAATTTTTAAGTCTTTCAACACAACGTTGTTGTTGTTTTTTTAAAATAACCTACACAGGAACAGACAGATTTTTCTTTTCCCAAGAAGCTTTGGGAAACGCATCATCCGAGAGGTCCTGACTAGTGCTTCGCATCCTTCATTGCACACGAGGCAACTCTGCATGACAGAACAGACCAAGCAAATCTAGTTTTGCATTAGTATTACTTGACGTTGTCTGAACAGCTTGAGGTAGAATCCTTGCAAGTCTGGGGTGGTCTTGATTAAAATTAGAGATCTGCTAAATTTCAGGTTCTTGATGGAGACGCCCACTCTAAGCAAAACTCACGAAACAAAAAAAAAAAGCAGGGGATGATAGCATGGGGAAAGACAATTTCAGTTCTCCGTTCAGAAGGTTAAATAAAAGCAAACAAATAAGAAGTAAATACAAACAGCAGGCTCAAAACATCACCTCATAAAAAAAGGCCACATTGCAAGAACTCACCCTCAATGTTCCAAGTTTAAAAAAAAAGGAATAGAAAATGGGGAAATGTTTAAAAGAAGGAAAAAAAAACCCTAGGGAAAAGGTTTAAAAGGAAAAAAAAAACCCTGAAGAAAACTCTTATAAGACCACGGTCACATACAAAAAGCACAGACCTATGGGTATAAACTCCCATAAAGACCGACAGGAATAAATAGAACGCTTCTAAAGTCCGAACAATCTTTCATACGCTTCGACGAACGATGGCACCAGCTTGATTTTTTCCCTACACTAAGAAGAAGATAACCAACTCCAAATCTTTCAAGGAAAATTAAGGTGCCGAGTGCCACCATCTGCTGAAAAACTTTGAATAACTCTTCTATAAATATATATAGATTCTGTAAGTCACCAGTATACATCACCTTTGTGCTCCTACATCTATAGGACACTTTAAGCAGTAAATGTAGAGCTCCAATTGTATGTGCAATTGTGGCAAAAAAAAATGATTTTATTGCAGGAACAATCCACGACGCCATCACAACTTTAAAAGCTGTGACGCAATGAGGATGCGGTTAGTCACGACTAGCTTAAAGTAGTGTCCTCTACTAACACGATGGAAAGAAACACGAATATACGTCTACGCTCTCCAGGCATGATTTTGTTTCGACACAAGGCTCTCAAGAGGTATAAAAAGCACAAACATGCTAAAACGTTGCTCTTCGAGTATTCGGAATGGGGTCTGAACACACCATAGACATATATGGGGACATTGTTAGAAAGCATGACTGGTTTTGCTTCTCTACTTTAGTATAGCTTGCAGCATTACATCTTGCATCTGCTTTCTAACAAGAGATGAAACAGAGGAAGTAAGTCGCTTCCCCTTTTGGACTGTTTGATTTAGCACCATGAAGGTCATCAAGTTTAAAAACCACTTATACAGTTTTAGACCAAAAAACAGTTTGGTGAACAGAAAGTGTTTAGACATGACTATAAAAATAAATTATTGAAACGAAAGGATTAAAATAAAAGCCTTATAGGGGTTTTCAAGAGAGAAATCTGCCACGGATGAAAAGACCACTAAATGCTTCAACAGAACGTGTCCGATACCGACTGCCACGAACACCGTGAGTGGATCCATGGGGTTTTACAATGTTGTCCTGAGCAGTGTTAAACACAAAAGCGTGATCTAAAATAAAATCGTTAGATACAGATCTGAAAGAATACGTTCACATCATTTGATTAGTAATAGGCATGTTTTTACAGAGAATCTTCGCTGCCGCTAAGCTTTCACACACTACGTGGTCCGCACTGAAAACTTCACTGAATTCAGCACTTTTAAGGTCGGCTCGAGGAAGAAAAAAAAACAAAAAAGGGAAGAGGGTTGAGATTTAAAGGTCGGTTATGTGAACAGAACGTCCTGACATCTTGGCAGCGGCCATTTCCACTCAGCTTTTAAAAAGCATAAAAAAGCCTATCGGAATCATTTAAAAGCTGCAAAATATACAACGACTCTGGCTAAAGTTCAATCTTTGTGCCGCTTTTTTGTTTTACTTTGCTGCTTGTGAACTGATTCATAAAACAAATTGCTATGACTGAGACCGAGACTCTTTTTCAAAACAGTGATATTCAGATTAAAACAGTTAGTGAACCACAAAGGATGCAGCTCAATGGAAAATGTTCTTAAAAGGCCATGATCGTTTCCACACATCAGCAATCATGCGTCATCGGCTCTACTGGACTGAATGTCTAAGGGTCGGCAGGAATCACGATTCAAGGACATGAATGGCTCCACAACAGCGGTTTAAAAGATAGTGGTCCTTTTAAATGAAGGACTTTCAAATTGAAGAGGTGGCTGTTAAGCTTTGAAACCCTCTGCTTGGACCCCCTTTACCCGTCAAGCCTCGGACCAGTGTTTTTACCCGTCTAGCTCCATTGTCATTGTCAACTTTTCCATCATCTTGCCTCAGTTTAAGAAGCGTCGACAGCGCTTGGCTCCACAGTTACAGCCGAGCTTGTTGCTGGCATCTTCGATGGGGAACTTGTAGTCGTAGGTCAGCTCTTCTCCGCGATAGATCTTGCGCAAGGCGAAAATGACTATGTGCTTCTGACCCTCCACGTTGATGACTCGAGAGAAGCAGTTTGGTTCACAGGAGTGGTTGATGAACCGAGCCGCATTACCGTGCATCGTGGCGTCTACAACGTCAAAGTCGTCAATGCGGAACATATAGCATCCAATGCCCTGGTAGGAAGAGTAGAGGAAAGAAGTGGTATAAGACTGATAACATTCAAACTTGGACCCAAATCCAGTACAGGGTGATCCTGAAAGATGTATTTATGTAAAACAAATAAGTGAATAATCTAAACATGAACAAGACATATAAACAAATATAATATAAAAAAATAAATGTAAGGAAAATAGTTAAGTTTAAAAGAATCCCATTTCTATTCTTTAAAGGAATAAAACATCTATTATGGTTTCTACAAAAATATTAAGCAGCACGACTTTTTCAATATTGATGATAATAAGAAATGTTTCTTGAGCAGAAAATTCTCTTGAGCGATTTCTGTAGGATCATGTGACACTGAAGACTTTGCATCACAGGAATAAATTGTGTGTAAAAATACATTAAAATAGAAAACAGTTATTTAAAAAGTGTAATAATATTTCACAATATTAATGTTTTTACAAATTAAAGGCAGTATGACCAACGCATCACAAAAAAGTGCTTTCTATTAAAGGGCACCTATTATGGAAAATTCACTTTTACATGGTGTTTGAACATAAATGTGTGTTGGCAGTGTGTGAGCAAAACCACCCTAGAATGATAAAAATCCATCCAGTAGTTTTTTTACAATCTCAATAAATCATATGCACTGCCTCAGAACGAGCTGTTCTGAGATCCAGGTCTTTGTGACGTAGAACGGGAGACAGGGGGTTGATTGACAGTGTGGCTGTGGCCTAGACCCCGCCCTCGGTGATCTGTACACACCATCCTTCATTGTTTCAACGACGACAGCCGGTAATGTCTCTTGGAAACGTAAATTTATGTTCTGTCGTGGACTCGTGGGTTAATCCTGTTGTTGTGGCTTAAAAGTTAATCCTCAAGTGTGGATTGTCGTCTACTGTTTGCGATCCACCGTCACCTCCAGTAACAGTACGTGTATTTTATGATTTTTGAGCAAATAGTCTTTTCAGTCAATGTCAGCCAATTCAATAACAAATGCGTCTAAAGTTATTGCCGTCATAGGATGTCTGTGTATATAATTTAAAACCTTGTTTGTATAGTGTGTAACCACACGTTTATAAATATATATATTTTTAAAGATATTGTATTAAAAACTGCATATATGTTGGTGTTCTGTAAGTTAGCCATCTTCTCACATTTGCCACAGAAGCACCTATGACAAGTAGCTAAACATGACGCCACAGGTCCCTCGCATAAATGTAATTTCGCTCGTACGTTGCAAACTTTATCACAGAATGTATATGTAGTTTCAAAAAATTGCGCTAGTGTCTGTGTGTGTGTGTTGGACATCCATCATTTCAAATGGGACGCGATTACAACTCTAAAGTACATAAAAGTATCAAATAACCATACCGAGACGTACTGGTCCATTCTCATTTGTTTATTCTGCCGGAGTCTCTTCATACTATTTAAATATTCCGATTCAAACGTACTCTGAATGACATTCAATACGGCGCGTCTCTTCACTCTCTCAGTACCGACTGCCTGCCATAGGTATCAAGTTACGCCCTCATCCAATGGCAGGGCGGGGATATGCAGCTCATTTGCATTTAAGGTGGAATACCCCCTGAAACCGCTCATTTTTAAGCAGGCCCCAAAATGACATTTTCAAATGGTTATAATAAATTAACTGTGGGGTATTTTGAGCTGAAACTTCACAAATACATTCTGGGGACACCAGAGACCAATATTACATCTAGTAAAAAGGGGCATAATAGGTGCCCTTTAATGAATAAAGAGCTTAAGCTTATTAATTCTCTTTCAAATCTTAATTACATACATATTGTAATATTTTAATTAAATAAATATTAAATACTACTACACATAACAGAAAAAGGAGAAGAGACAGAGAGATCGAGCTGAGAGCTAATCGGCTGAGAGTTAAAAAATAATAATAATAAATACTAGGAATGTTCCGATCAATTTTTTTGTGCCCCCGATCCGATCGAGCAAATGTTGATCTGCCGATAGCGAGTACGAATGGAGTACTTGTATGTTCCTAGTGCTTGGTGCACATCTCAAATAAGAAGGCTGATAAAAATAAACAGTACATAAATGACTTTTGATGATTTGTTACAAAAGTGCGCATCAAATATGCTAAACACAGAGCTATCCGCGTGTATGTGTGTATGTCTATGCTGTTAAATGCCTGAGTGATTCCGCGTGTATGTACACGCCGTTAAATGTCCGAGCAAAATGTAGATCTACATCTGGGGGGTGATATTTTTTTTTCCTAGGATGGTAGGGGAAGACTCATAAATGGTATTAACCCCTGTGACGGTTAGGTTTAGGGACGGGGTTGGGGTAGCTCATATATTTATATGTTCAGTAATAAAGTTAAGTCAACGGCGTTCATAAACACGCAGAAAAGAGATTATGCGTGTTGATAGCACGCCAAAAATGGAAATACAAATTGGTGTGTCATACATACGGCATTTCATGAGATCAGTCTGGTTACCTAATATTTTTTTACAGTGCTGTTAACTGTACAGTCTTTACCAAGAAATCCAATGTCACATTATTTACAAAAGCTTCAGCAAGACAGTTCAATTCTCTACAATAATAGAATATAGTATATAAAAGTAAGCTGTTACACTGAGATGGTTTGGGAAAACCATAAAGTGTCTTGTACAGGAAGTATTAAACCATCAAAAGTTAAATGATTGATATTTAGGCTTATAATTTAATAAAATATAGGCCTAATATATATATATATATATATATATATATATATATATATATATATATATATATAAACGAATTGAATTAATTGAAGTGATTTAATATATCAGTTTATATGCTTAAATTTGTTTACATACAATTTTATTATAATATCAAAACAAACTGAAGCATTTAAATAGATATAATAGCTAAATATTTTCAAGAAAAGTGAATATGTGAACTCTTTTATAGTAATATAACCATGCCTGACCCCCACCCACGACTCACTGCCAATCACACGCGCTCACATCATTCTCTTTCAATGAAACCTGTAAACTCTATTTACCAGTTTTCACTCTATAGTGGTTGACCAGAGCACTAAAATTATTACAATCAAATGGATTTGCCCACACATTTAGTAACAGTCCTCTACATGGCATTTTATTCTTTTCTGCGCGGCCGCAGCATCAGAAGTGCGCGACCGCGGCATCACGCGCGCAGCTTAGAGGGAACATTGGAACAGACCTCACTGGTTCTCACACATCAACATGCAAATTTGAGCTACATTTCCTATTATTGGCAGTTGACAACCCCACTAAAAGCTGCATATCGCCACCTACTACACAACACCTGCATGACAGATGACATAAAATAAAGGATCAGGCTTAGGTTAGCCGATACCGAAACATCCCGAATAAATACTATTTTAAAACGCCACTTTTCCACTTACCTTGCTATCGTAATATTTCTCACGCTTGTCCGTGAGAACAGAACGAATTACAATGCCTGAATACTCAATGACCATCTCCCCTGCCTCGATGTTTCGCTTGCAGAAAAGGCCTCTTCCGTGAATCGCAGACCTATGACGGCAAGAACAGATACAGTGAATGTGACTTGTTTTGAATCAAAACACTGGCAACACAACTAAGGAACCGGGAAGACGAATATTGAAAGCCAAAACTGAATTCATTAATTGCAAACACAACAGAGCAAAAGATGACACTGGCAAAGGGTTGCAGAATGGATTCCAAATAAAACAATTTCCCTGGTAAAAACATTTCCCAGTTGTAAACCAGAGACTAAACCCAGACTTCAGAATGTGTCATTACAGGGATAAAAAATGACATATATTTCTAGCAGATCCTAGGGCGTGCATTTCTTAAAATGAAGTGCATCTTCACATCTTTATGCCACATCAAAAGGGTTTTTTTTTCACACGTTTATTATTGGTAGATCACCTGGAAACCAAACCTAAACATCTCCTTCCTGCGACTGGTGGATATCATCATGATACTGACATTTTGACTTCTGCTAAATGTAAAGATATTCTAAACTTTTCTACTGATGTAGCTCAAATGTGGGGGTTAAAAACAGAACTGAAAATATGACTCAGTTCCTCAATTGGGTTAAAAATTTTAACCCACCTATAGACACCAACCGCTTCCTTGGATGTCCTCTCCAGATGTCTAAAGCGCATTGCCATGGGAAGTTCCAAACTTGTTGCACGTCTGTGAAAGTGAAAATGATTTTATTCCTCATGTGAAACAATCCATGGTTACATAATAAATCACAAAAAATGTCAATACTGAGAGAATTAGCCAAGAAAGAGGAATTACAATCAGTGACAAAAATATTAAAAAAGGGGAAAATGATAAAATGACAAAAAACCCAAAACAAGTCATCAAAAGCAAATGTCTATTTTTCAGTCTATGAGAAAAAAAGCCAACATATCATAATTTGTATTTTAGTGCTCATGGTGACCCCATTGAAATACTTTAAAGTGCCCCTATTATGCTTTTTCAGGTATTACTTTTCATGCGGTGTGTATTAAAGCTGTTTCGAAATATAAAAGGTCAGCAAAGTTTCAAAGATCAAAGTGCACGACAAATACCATTATTGTCTCCCAAAGGGAAGACCTGGACTGCCTGAAATGAGTCGGAGTAATTCAAATCTTTTCTGCATTAACTTGCGTAGGTTTGTAACAAATTCGCATAATATGGTCCTCATTGGATGCCTGTGAACAGCATCGACTTTGTCTCGTCCTTAAACAATGTAGTTGTAGCTTAGGCCTGGAATAGTTTGGTTCATGCTGTCGACATGTCAAGAAGGTCATAGGCACTGTAAAAAGCAAATCTACTTTGTATGTGTATTACTGTGTATCACACACCGAGGAAGCATCTGGAGCTGAAATTCAGTTGTGGTAATAGCCGTTTTCGCATCAGGGATGAACTGTAAGCAGTCGACCATCTGACCAATCAGAGCAGAGTAGACCAATCATGACAGACTAGCCATCTGACCAATCAGAGCAGAGTAAACCAATCATGACAGACTAGCCATCTGACCAATCAGAGCAGACCAGACCAATCATGACTAGCCATTTGACCAATCAGAGAAGAGTAAACCAATCATGACAGACTAGCCATCTGACCAATCAGAGCAGACCAGACCAATCATGACTAGCCATTTGACCAATCAGAGCAGAGTAAACCAATCATGACAGACTAGCCATCTGACCAATCAGAGCAGACCAGACCAATCATGACTAGCCATTTGACCAATCAGAGCAGAGTAAACCAATCATGACAGACTAGCCATCCGACCAATCAGAGCAGACCAGACCAATCATGACAGACTAGCCATCTGACCAATCAGAGCAGACCAGACCAATCATGACAGACTAGCCATCTGACCAATCAGAGCAGATCTGATCAATCATGACAGACTAGCCATCTGACCAATCAGAGCAGATCTGATCAATCATGACAGACTAGCTATCTGACCAATCAGAGCAGACCAGACCAATCATGACAGATTAGCCATCCGACCAATCAGAGCAGACCAGACCAATCATGACAGACTAGCCATCTGACCAATCAGAGCAGACCAGACCAATCATGACTAGCCATTTGACCAATCAGAGCAGAGTAAACCAATCATGACAGACTAGCCATCCGACCAATCAGAGCAGACCAGACCAATCATGACAGACTAGCCATCTGACCAATCAGAGCAGACCAGACCAATCATGACAGACTAGCCATCTGACCAATCAGAGCAGATCTGATCAATCATGACAGACTAGCCATCTGACCAATCAGAGCAGATCTGATCAATCATGACAGACTAGCTATCTGACCAATCAGAGCAGACCAGACCAATCATGACAGATTAGCCATCTGACCAATCAGAGCAGACCAGACCAATCATGACAGACTAGCCATCTGACCAATCAGAGCAGACCAGACCAATCATGACTAACCATCTGAGCAATCAGAGCAGATCTGATCAATCATGACAGACTAGCCATCTGACCAATCAGAGCAGAATAAACCAATCATGACAGACTAGCCACCTGACCAATCAGAGCAGATCTGATCAATCATGACAGACTAGCCATCTGACCAATCAGAGCAGAGTAGACCAATCATGACAGACTAGCCATCTGACCAATCAGAGCAGACCAGACCAATCATGATACACTAGCCATCTGACCAATGACCAATCAGAGCAGACCAGACCAATCACAACAGACTGGGCCATTGACCATTTAGAGCAGAGTAGACTCTCGGAAAGGAGGTGTTTAGGGAGACCAGATCCTTTATCGAACAGTTTAAGACACCCATATAAAAGAGTCGATGCAGTGTATATGAGAACATTAAAGTGTTTTTGACCTTGGATGCATGCAAACCTATTGTAGGAGACCTCCAAAACAAAATTAGTAATCTTTAAAATAGTATTATAGGGGCACTTTAAAAAACACTATTTATAAAAATACAATTAAAAACAGCAAAATGCTACATCACACATATAAGTGTAGTAGTTCTGAAACAATATAGACCATTTACTGTGAACCTCTATCAGGTTTTTCTCGTAACTTTTACCTGCTATTGTGTCACATCAAGAAACAAAACTTTCATTCAGTAAAATTCTAAATCTTATTTGACCTGGTGGATTTGAGAAGAACCTCATCTTCTTCCTCATCATACAAGTCGGTGTCAGGAAGCTGTCTGTGCTGTGACGCCAGGAAGTTAAACATGTCAAAGGTAGACTTCCTGTGAAACAGACAAGTAGGTGTGAGCAGTTTCACCCAGAAAAGATCCCTTTTAGGCACGCACATTTGAAGTCACAGAACTATGACTTCGAGATAACATCACTTGTTACTCTCCAAGACAAATGTATGTCTAAACCCCCTCCTTAAAACACCTACTCCCTTGTTGCTAGTTATTAGTCATTTAGCAAACGCCTCCTATAAAAGCTAATGATATAGGGACAGACCCCTTATAGTGACGCACTCTAAAGTTCCTCATTTAAGGCACAATGTTCATCCCAGTAACTGAACTGTAGTTTGTGAACAAGGACCTTCAATCGATTATAAAACAATTGAGATAATTACACATTAAAGGTCAATAATTAATCACATTAACAGCAAATATTCACACAACAATTTGCTTTAATAAAAAATTAAATAAAATAATAATAATAATAGTAGTATATCACAGTAGTAGTATATTATTAATATTAGTAGTATATTATTGTGGCATACAAATCAAACATTTAATACACAACACAAAAATTGTCTTTAAAAGTCAATAAATAGTTTGAAGCTTTGCAAAAAAAAAAAAAAAGAATATTAAATTATTATTATAATTATTTTTAAGTAGTGCTAGTATTGTGGCTGACAAGTTAACTAATTAATCTGGAAATAACTGAATACCAATTTGCTGGGAAAGATGCTTAAATAATAATAATAATAAATTATTATCAATATTAAGTAGTAATAGTACTATATATTGTGGTAGACAAGTTAAGCATTGAATAGAAATTACAAAAAGAGGCTTTAGAAGTCAGTAAATTGTTTGTTGATTTGTAAAATTATAATAAATCATCATCATCAAGTGAATTATTTTCTTTAATTATTAATCACTATGTAACCACCACTTCATATATCATTTAACAGTTAAACCAGTGAATTACCTTAAGTAGACTTCAGAGCGGGCACAGCCACTTGGGTTAACGGGCAGATCTTCCTCCTGACTGGCCTGCTTGTGGAAGCGGAAAGTGTGGCGATGGCAGCATTTGGCCCCCTGGAGCTGTTCCACCAGGTAGACTACCGCATCTTGAAGCATTCCCATCATACGAGCACCGCTCAACCCCGTAAAAGTGAGTTGCCTCAGTCCAGCAACAGCACGGGCTTCCTGGACCCCCTCGATAACAGCAGTCCAAGCCACTGTTGGGAATTTCGGGAGAAAAAAAAGTGAATTTAGTTACTTTTTTAGCTCACACATACATACAATTAACATGCACACTGTACACACATTGTTTTTTTAAATTGCCAATGGCAAGCAAACTAAAAAAAAAAAAGGTTTTCTATTAACAAATATATGTTTATAAATGAAGTCCTGTGATCTGACTAGTGTTGGTCAGTGCAGTTTGAATTAGCCTTTAGATTAGCCTCCTACCCTCAATGCTGTCTGCTTCTACACTAAAGCCATCATCACTAGCGATCTCAAAGCGTAGGTGGGGATGGTCTCGGCTGGGAGGAATATGCTCTTCACCGTCTGAGGGAGGCATCTCATCGTCTGAACAGGACAGCATCCCTAAAAATAAAGAACATTTTTTAACATTTCATTCTTTGATCCATTGAAAGACCTTAAAATGATCAAAATGAAATAAAATAGAACGACAAAATATTTTTCCTTTTAAATTACATTATACCTGAGTATTTGTTCCAGTCAGATGCACTACGGTTAACAGGATCCCAAGTTGTTGGCTTGTTGCTGTCTCCACCTCGAGGCAATGAAAGGCGATCCCAAGGTCCAGACCTAATATAAAATCAATGAAAGGTCACAAATTAATGGATTAGACAGGCCATTTTAGTGTCCAAAATATTCTTTCCATTGCAATAATATAAAGTCACCACTAATTCGAATGACATATTAGTGGAAATGGTGGCACAAACTACCCACATTAAAAACAATACTGTGGTATTTGTTATTATTACTATGAAAGTATCTAGTATTCCTGCTTTGAATTTTTAAACAGACATGCAATGTAATGTACAGCAAGTACGCAAAGCATTTAGTGTTTGAAAAGCAAAGTTAAAGGTTTGATTAGTGCTGATGTTTAAGAAAAACATTTTTCATTTTTTTGTTTTGCAAAAAAAAAGGGCAATACAAATTCAATTTCCCTTCAAAGGCTCACCTTGCACTCTCAGAGTCACTACTTCGCTCTTCATTCAGCCTGTCCAAGTCTAGAATTCCCTTGACGGTTGGGGTTTTAATGCGAACTCCATACCTGCTGTGGAAAATAGTCAAATGGATATTCATTGTGGAGCTTGAAATAACAGAAAATATCCTGAAATTGAAGTAAATTCCATTTACCTGGCTGATACAGAGTTTGACTTGCATGGTTCTTCCAATTCAGTGCAGCCCAGGTCCAGAAAGTCTGATTTTGATTTCTTGGTGGCAATACGGTCAGATAGAGAAGACACCCTTTTCATTCGAACCTGCTTTGGTCGAGATGCTGCTTCTGGTGTAGCTGGTGGGGAAGTCTTTGACTCTGGTTCAACAAGGATACCTTCAGGTAAAACAACTGAACTTGTTTTCTGGGTTCGCCCAACAACGGTAGTGTTACGAGGTGATGAGGGAGTTAGAACATGGGAAACGGTTTTGTTGGGATCATAATAGCCAGCCATGGCTTGGTTGATGATAGCTTGAGCACTCTCTGCTTGATTAGATGCATCTAAGGAGGTTGTTAATTGACTCATAGATTGTTTGCTAGAGGGACCAGGTGTGCTAGCAGACTTTGTTCTTCTAGGTGTGGAAGACTCCTTCTTACTCCGTGGTTTTTTCACTCCATCTCCAGAAGCTTTGGCATTCCTACGTGGTTTCTTGACATCTGCTGGTAGTGAAGCTGCTCCGTTACTACTGGTGGTAAGTAGCTGGGAAATGGTATTGGAGGTCTGCACCAATGGGGTCACAATTTGGTGGATTTGGGTTGGAATGGTGGCACCTGCAACTGTGGGAAAGTTCCCAGCTGCTGCAAGTGTTGCCGACAAGGCATTGCTTTGCAAGAGGCTGGCGATTTGGGTAACGCAGTTGAATGAAGGGGATTGGGGAGTTGGCAGCTGGAAGGTGTTGCTTTCTGGGTTTTTGACAAAAATTTGACCAAGACGGTTAACGAGTAAAACATGTGGTGTGGGATCCACATTAGGTCCACCAACTTCCTTTACAGTAAGAATAGCATGACCTGGTAATGCTTGAGTAACCAACTGTTGTTGGGGTTCAATTGTTGATCTGGGGGTTGAAAAATTGATGGAAATAGTTCGTCCTGGAGCGGTTTCTCTTTGCATAGGCGTGGTGTTGTACCCATTGATGACACCTGGAGCAGAGGCTGTCTGAATGGCAGTAGGCATTGCTTGGCACTGAGCTGATGGTTGGGAAGTTACAGAAGGGGATGAGGAGACTACACCAACTGCTGTAGAGCCGACAGGCTGCGGGTAAGTGGGATGCAATGGGACAGATACAGTACCAGAAACTGGCCCATAAGTCCCGAGGGGTACACCAGTGGCTGACGGCACAGACAGCATTGACTCTGGTTTCTGTGGTACAATTGTGGGGACACATGGCATTGCCCCTCCAGGAACTGAAGGGGCAGGATTCCTTGGTTCAGCAGGTGAGTGTAATTTGGTTCTGAAACTCTCCATTGGCGGCAAGACAGTCTTACCCTCAGGAGTTTGGACAGGGTACAAGGAAACATTTGCAGTAGGTGCCTGATTTGGGAATGTTGCAAAAGGAACTTGCAGAGAGGAATCTGAGGATAAAGGTTCAACAGTGGATGCAGATTTGGCCAACTCTGTGAAAGGAACAGGATTTGGTTGCAGTGGAGTTTGAATTCCGTTAACTTGGCCCAAGTCAGGAGAAACTTCTTGCAAGTGGTTGTTTGGATAAACTGTAGAGTCATCCATAGAGGATACAAAGTGGCCACTACTAGGATCCAAGTACAACTCTTTAGATTCGTGTGGGTCACCTAGAGAATCCTGCACTGGGACCAGCTCTGTGAAATGCGCATTGGGTGAAAGAGGATCACATCTCTCAAGAATTAAAGGCATCTCTGGCTCAACAATTAAATGAGGGGATTGGAAATCATTACCATATGTAGAAAATGAGGGGTTTATAGACTTTGCTTCAACAAAATTAGTCATAGGGTCTTGTGCGTGTATAACCACCCCAAGGTTGGATTGCAATGTTTGAGTTAGACCAAAGGAATTTTGATCAGCAGCAACCTCGGAGTTGGACACTGGTTCTAATCGACAACTAATCGATGAAATATCAGATACAGGGCTTGGAAAATTCAAACACAGCCCATTGCTAGCTGTCTGCTCATGAGATACAGAATTGAATGATTTGAGTGGCTTTTGGGCTTGATTTGACAACTTCACACCCTGGTTGTCATTGTTAGCCACACTTGTATCACTCTCTGTCCCATCATCCACACCATCAAGTTGGGAAATATGCCTCAAAGATGGAGATGTAGGTGTCTGAGAGGCATCCCTTTGAGCCTTGCAAGTAACCACTGTGCGAGTGAAGTTGTAGTAGTTCTCCATGTCCTCATCAGAGGAACTATTACCCCAGTCTTCTCTACAAGCATCAACAGTACAAGACAATCTCTGCGTAGACATTTTGGACTTCTCTTCATTTGGCTCCCAGAAGTCCTCCTGGTTGTCTTCACCTTCAACTACAATTTGTGCACTGCAGTTCATAGCTACACCTTCATTTAGCACTGTTTCTTCAATTTCAAGCTCGGTCCTCAACTCAGGTGCCTCAGTCAGGTCTGCCTCTAAGTGGAAGGATGTGTAAGGGAAATCTCTCTCACTGTCAAGATGATTACTTTTTTGTGTACCCAAAGGGTCACCTAATGGCAAGGCACCATTTTCTGCTGGATGCTCCTGTGGTGATGCTATAAAATTGTGTGGAAGTTCTACAGAGTCTATCTGATTAAAATCAAAAGGCCGTGGTCTTGTGGAGAAAAGAGTGGGAGATGTAAGGGATCGGTTGGTGGAAGGGGTGCTGCCAATGCCAACTTGCCTTGTGGACTGTGAAAATAGTCCTGAGGTAGAATGGGGCGTCATTATTCCAGAACCCCGGACTGAGGAAGCACTTCGACCGACAGGCCGAGCTGAGGAAGAGGTCAGCAGGTTTTCAGTAGCACCAAGGGGGAAAACTGGGGAGGTAGGCCGGGAGGCTTTAAGGTGGAGGGAACCACCTGCTCTAGATGCAATTGGGCCTGCATGGGATCCAAGAGTAGGAGAGCTCATGTGACTGCGGGTACCGCTATTCTGGGTGTGTGGGCTATGCCGTCGTGGCCTTCGAGTGTCATCCAAATCACTGATAGTCAGGATGTGGTGAGGTTTGGATGGGGCAGCTCCTGATAAAAAATAAAAAAAGAAGTAAATAACCAATGATCAAAATGTTTTATATGAATTTTTTTGAAGACAATACAAATGCGATTAAATTGATTTTGATTACCAGGAGAAGGCAGTGGTCTGGAGAGTCCTCCAGCAGGTCTTCTGTTTTGGGGGTATGAAGGGATTTTGGGGCGGGCACCCAGGTCTGGTTTGGCAAAGACAGATCCCGAAGTGGAATTTGTTTCACTGGAAGGATTTGTTGAGGACAAATCCACTTCGAGGGCTTCAGATTCTAATGGATATATATATTGGAATTTCAATATTCAAAAATGTACAAGACATCACTTTACAGGAAGTAACATTATCCAGTACTTACCTAACTGCAGGCATGGACTGTGGGCAATTGTGCAATTTTCTCCCTGATCGGGCGACTCTTCTACAGGTTTTTCCTGAACAGGTGGCCGGACCTCTGTAACACGAAATGTGTATTTGCAGCGACGAAGGGGGTTTACAGTACTCCAATACCAGCGAGAGCATCTTTAAAGTAGAAGAAAGAAAAACTCTGTTGATGTGCAAGCAAGAGGAAATGCTATGTCTGATACATGCATTACGTGAGGAGCAAACTCCTCAAGATATCTCAAGAAGCTACTTACTCATAACCCACAGGAAATAGTTTCCCATGACAGACAGATAATTCACTCAGCTTTCCAAGCTTTTCTACAAGCAAAGAACCTAAAAGATGAAAAGTTATGTTTAAAACATTGTTCAAAATCTCCATGTACAACAACGCATTATATTTACATCTTATACATTTATTAATGTAACCTTAAAAAGACAAAAAACACCAACCTATCATTAAATTAATAGATTCCGGCTCCAACCCAGTCAAAAACTTCCTGCGAAGACTTATCCCTTCAAAATCCACATAAACTCTCCGAAGTACTTCGAACCCTTGACCAGTGATGACCTGGTAAAATACAGAAGAAGAAGAAAAAAAAAACTGTTCTCACAAACCAGTTGTGTAATGTACACATAAGGCCTCTATTTGACTTAATTTTAAGTTACTGTAACAAACCACAACTAAATAAGCAGCCATTTAGCTAAATTAAATGCAATTAAACAAAGCTTACTTTTCCACTTATAAGGTCCCGGTGCTTGTGACAAAAGACTCTTTTATCGTCCTGGAAGACACAGTTGCGAAAGCGGGCACACATGAAGTGGTAGTTGCTCTGGCACGAAGAGAGACAGCAACCGACCGTTGCTCCAGTACGGTTACACCGTTCACAGCGCTGTGGAAGAAAACATTATACTATGCTTAACAGATGCACGTATACTGTTTGTTTAAATACTACATGTGTCACCAATGGATCTGTTGAACCAGAATTAAATGAGATTAATACCATACCATTAGGCGACCTCGTGCTACAGCACTGTGGACATGCAGAAGTGAGCCATTATCCTCCTCAAGCACCTCTGCAGACCACATGGTACAGTTCACATGAGCCCATTCATTTTGCCCAAGATAGAGCAACCTCCCTGCATCCTGGGAAGAGAAACGTATAATACAAGGGTTGCAATATAGATTTGGCTGACACTAATAACAGATCAGAGTAAGGCTTGTAAGCTGTAATATTTTGACATGGTATCTGAAAATTACAACTTTGCAAGCACCTGCACAAAAAGTTCTGTGACCGTACCATGGTACAGCGATATTTTCGGATGGCAATGCCATGATACTTACATTTATGCATACCATATTGATAGCTATGATTACTATATTCATAAACCACAATAATTAAATAGTACTTCATGGTACTACAAATAACACAGCAATATTTCCATAGTATGTGTCTTAGAAAACATGATATTACAATTGTAACATCCCTGTAGTAACAAGCTATTATAAGGTAGAATACTGAGTTTACTGTGAGTTACTGTTTAAAACAAATACTTACGCTGGACTTTGCATCACCATATTTTTGGCACAGAACACACTGTCTCTCGTCGTCTTTCGACCAGCCTGTGTCCAGCTCGGTTTTAGTTGGCCGCCCCTTTTTCCCTGGGAGAAGCATAAAAATCTCAAGTTAGGATGCTTTTAATACAGGTTTTCCATATGTTCAGAAACAATGGTTACAATTGTAATTTCACATGTGTGTGTTTATTTACCTTTCATATTCATTTGTAATGCCCTTATGTCCATAAAATGACCTTTGGGTTTATGGTCCAAAAGTAAGGACAGATCCTCCTCTTCTCCCATTTTAACATCCACGTGTCTTCCCATTGTTTTTGAGGTGCCGTCCAAAGCCTTGCTGCAGCTATCTCTCTCACGCCATTGAGCATAAACATGTTCATAATTTGGTGGCATTACGGCGTGTGAAAGCATCCCACTGCAGCAAAGGTGAGAATGGAGGAATGGAAAGGTAGCCGAAGTGTGATTGATAAAATATATAATGATTTTTCCGAAAAGAATGAGACTGGAAAGAATTATCAGACACTTACGCTGGCAAATGTTTAGAGCGTGGATCCCATACTTTAGGGTCCAGACTGTTGAACCAACCATAAACATCCTCTAAGATCTGAAAAGAATTGAAATTATATAAATGCATCCAAATATAAAGCCACATTGAAGAATCACAAAAAATATATATATATTTTGAGAGTATTTCTAGGCTAATAATTAGAAAAAAACATGTATGCAAACTTAAAATGTAAAAAGACAGGTCTTGGCTAAATATGTGTATATTTAAACATGCATCATTAGTCCATTTTTTATGATATGGCCTAAGCTACTCTGACTGGTTTGGTGAAAACAACTTTGGTGTCAAATTAAAAATAAATACACAATCTTACCGTGAGATAGTATGAGCGGGCGAGGGCAGTAGGTCTTTGGTCCTCGGGTAAAACTTCCTCTTCCTCCAAGTGACTGTGAATAACCTTCACCACATCCTCGTGGAAGGATTTCTGCTTAACAAAACCACAAATTAAATTAATATTTCGATATCCTGTTCACTCTGAAAGCAAAACACAAAATGATCCTAATAATTTGAGGATTGAGGTCGACTAGCTAATGTGTGCCATCAGAGATACGAGCAATTGGCAGGCAAGAGAAAGGAATGAGCATTTATTTATTTTTTGTTTTTGAAATGTTGACATGTCAAAATAACATTTACAGTAATTGTTCACAGTCAAGCATACAGTGGGGCCAAAAAGTACTTAGTCAGCCACTGATTGTGCAAGTTCTCCTACTTAGAATGATGAGAGAGGTCTGTAATTTTCATCGGAAGTACACTTTAACTATGAGAGACAAAATGAAAACAAAAAAAATAAATAAATAAATAAAATAATCCAGGAAATCACATTGTAGGATTTTTAAATAATTTATTTGTAAGTTATGGTGGAAAATAAGTATTTGGTCAATAACAAAAGTTCAACTCAATACTTTGTAACAAACTTTGTTGGCAATGACAGCGGTCAAACGTTTCCTGCAAGTCTTCACCAGGTTTGCACACACTTTAGCTGGTATTTTGGCCCATTCATCTATTCAGATCTCCTCTAGAGCAGTGATGTTTCAGAGCTGTCGCTGGGCAACACGGACTTTCAACTCCCTCCACAAATTTTCTATGGGGTTGAGGTCTGGAGACTGGCTAGGCCACTCCAGGACCTTGAAATGCTTTTTACAGAGCCACTCATTCGTTGCCCAGGCGGTGTGTTTGGGATCATTGTCATGGTGGAAGATCCAGCCAAGTTTCAGCTTCAAGGCTCTCACTGATGGAAGGAGATTTTGGCTTAAAATCTCACGATACATGGCCCCGTTCATTCTTCCCTCAACACGGATCAGTTTTCCTATTCTCTTTGCAGAAAAACAGCCCCAAAGCATGATGTTTCATCCCCCAAGCTTCACAGTAGGTCTGTTGTTCTTGGGATGCAACTTTGCATTCTTCTTCCTCCAAACACGACGAGTTGAGTTTTTACCAAAAAGTTCTGTTTTGGTTTCATCTGACCACATGATATTCTCCCAATCCTCTTCTGGATCATCCATATGCTCTCTGGCAAACTTCAGACGGGCCTGGACATGTATTGGCTTAAGCAGGGGGACACGTCTGGCACTGCAGGATTTGGGTCCCTCTCGGTGTAGTGTGTTACTTTGTTACTTTGGTCCCAGCTCTCTGCAGGTCATTCATCAGGTCCCTCCATGTAGTTCTGGGATTTTTGCTCACCGTTCTCATGATCATTTTGACCCCACGGGATGAGATCTTACCTGGAGCCCCAGATCGAGGGAGATTATCAGTGGTCTTGTATGTCTTCCATTTTCTTACAATTGCTCCCACAGTTGATTTTTTCACACCAAGCTGCTTGCCTATTATAGATTCACTCTTCCCAGCCTGGTGTAGGTCAACAATTTTCTTCCTGGTGTCCTTCGACAGCTCTTTGGTCTTGGCCATGGTTGAGTTTGGAGTGTGACGTTTGAGGCTGTGGACAGGTGTCTTTTATACAGATAACGGGTTCAAACAGGTGGCAATAATACATAGGGGTGTAACGATTTTCGAACCGAAAAACCGCGATACTGAACTCACGATGAGAATCGTGATACTGTCATTGCGTACCGAACACGCCCTGCCTGCATGGACTTCATGTCTTATGTGTACAGTACTCAACGAATTCAGTGTTGTAGCCTAACCACCATTAACACCAAATAACAAGCTCTGTGTTTTGTTACTTTCGATAATAATCAAGGTGTAATCTTTCAAATTCTGTCTATTTTATCATGAAATTCAGACAATAAAAGGCGTTTTGGCACTCTTTGATGTGGCGTGACAGATCGCTGTAGACCTACTGGCTCCTACGCGGCGCGTGAATAAACGCGATCATCTCTTCCTCAGTTACAGAAAAGACACCCGAAGGTATGTTGAAAGATACAGTATACTTACTGAAAGGCATCATAACTCGTTTAATCGCTCAATCAGTGTTTCCGCAGCGGAAAGACGTCAACAAAACAGCAAAGCTCATCACTATAGCATTATATTTAGCTCAACAGGCAAGTGATTCAGTGTCCACAACTTCCTATAAATGAACTCTTGCACTAAATAAATGCACTATGTTAGCCTGTATATTATATTTTACTTAACCTGTTAATGATATCTTGATTATTTAATGTATGTTTAAAATAGCTTTCATGAAAATGACAACTGTGTAAATTATTATATTTCAATAACAAAATTAGAGTAAAAACACAAGTTAATGCAAAAACTGCCATATGTTCAGTTTACATGTTTTCATAAAATGTGTTGTGTGTTGATTATTATATTTAAAAAATAAATTGCATCTGAAATTAGGTTAAAAGTCTAGGCTACAATCTTTAATGTTATAGTAATTTGTGGCTCCCTATATAGTTTACAGAATTAGCAGATTTTTGTTTAATCCTTGTGAAATGTTTAATTGTAATTGAATTAATTTAAAGACAAAGACCACTTTTCTCATTAAACCACTGTTAAAAAATAATAAAAAAAGCCATTTTAGCTTTCTAAACCGAACCGAACCGAGACGTCAAAACCTTCGGAAAACCAAACCGTCAGTTTTGTGTATCGTTACACCACCAGTGGAGGACAGAAGTGCTTCATAAAGAAGTAGTTACAGGCCTGGGAGAGTCAGAAATCTTGCTGGTTTGTGAGTGACCAAATACTTATTTTTCATCATAATTTACAAATAAATTCTTTAAAAATCCTACAATGTGATGTGATTGAAATGATTTCTCATTTTGTTTCTCATAGTTGAAGTGGATGATGAAAATTACAGACCTCTCTCATCATTCTAAGCAGGAGAACTTGCACCATAGATCAGTGGCTGACTAAATACTTTTTGGCCCCACTGTACATGCCTAGTTTATGAATAATGTGGGACACCACATACATGGTGAAGCTGCGCAGCCACATCGAACCTAGGAATATAGACTGACTATTTGGTCAAACCACTACAGTGTTAGCAAAGCAATTTATGATAGTACTTTTCAACCCTACATTCCCATTTGGTTAGAATTCTTTAACTTTTTGGGGGGTCTCAAAAAGCAAACTCAGACCAAAAAAAAAGCACATTTTCAAGTGAGTTGAAAAGCAGAGATACTGACCAAGGACGTGTATAAGCCCATATCAAACTTCTTTCCAATTGCATGGAGATCGCAAACAGGAAAATCTTCAACTCCAGTGTCCAGAGAACCCAGTCCAGCACACTACAAAAGAAGACAAAGCACTAGGAGTTGCTAACTAAACAAGCAATGATTCATTTTCCCTTCTATATGTATCCAGTTTATTTCCCGTAAATGCCCCCGCTTTGAGTAAACTGTTTAAACATAAAGTTCCACATGTTTTGTACAAAATACAACAATATACTGACAATTCCTGCTTCATGAGGCAGGGCTGGAATGTTACAAGCATCAATCCGCTAACCCATTTAAAAAAAAAAATTAAAAAAAGGTTCCCTGCAATTACTGTGAACAGGGCCATGGAAAACATTGGATCACATGCTGAACGCATAAGCAAAACAGACTATTTACTTAAATAAATTGCATCCTTTTGCTATTTAAAAAGGGCACAAATCCATATCCCACTTTTGATTTTAGTTCAATTTCCAGATGCTTTAACAAAACTATTTATGTTATAATGAAAAGTGTATTTTAGGGTAATTGTGAGACTTTGGTTCATTGACGAACTCACACAGCTGAATAATGACAATAATGTCTTTTTTAGAGCTGCTTTACAGCAGAATTTAACTCTGTTTGCACCAATGATTCTGTTATTTTCCAGTTTATCACTGGAAAGCTGCTTTGAAACAATCTGTTTTGTATAAAGCACTATCTACGTTTTGTTGAAAATGTGACATGACAGATTAAGACATTGGGGGGCTGCCAGAGTCTAGAAAATTTATAGGAAACACTGACTTTTTTTTACTTTTAAGACTTTTACATTCCAATAACTTTCAGGACCATGGGAAGGAACATGCTTGTAACAATACGTATTTTGGAAATGTATTTTCAAAATGTTTCTGCAACCTAGGGCTGTCAACTTTAGTCGTTTAGTCGACTAATCGGCCGATGCCGTCTTGGTCGACTGACATTCTTATTGGTCGACCAGTTGCATTTTTTTTTTTTTTTTTTACCAATAGAAAGAATTTTTCAATGATTTACTCCTTGATATTTATTCATTTATAAGCAGTTATGTATTACTGTATTCTAAATATAATTAGCCTATGTTTTGTCCCCAACTTTAAAATGCTTTAATTTAGGCTATTTTTGTAACTGCGCCACAGTTTAGTGGACACACATAATACACTCGGGAACCGCACCTGTGGCTGGCTGCGCTGCTGCTCGCGCTCGGTAAGGGATGCTGTATTCATTCAGTTAGAACGCTGCTTGTTTTGGCTTTAGTCGACAAAATGTCCAGGAAATCTAAATCTTTTGTCTGGCTGCATTTTAAAACAAAGAGGACAAGACTGTGGAGGGAGGCGATTGCGTTGCTTCATTATGAGCGCGCAAGTCGCGCGCCTACATTTGAAATCGAACTTGAGCGCGCAAAAGACGTGAGCAGCCTTTTAACGGCTATATCATGCTGACTCAATAGATTGTGTTTTCTTAATGTTTTCGTTTTTATTTGTACACTTGACGCATTTGAAAATAGCCTAAATAATGCAACAAAACAAAAACAAAAACGGTCCTACAGCCTATTATTAGGATTGTTTTTAAGTTATTTGGGTTTTTTGTGTGTTGTTTAAAACGCCTTGATCGTAAGTACTAAAGTTAACCCATAGCTTTGAAAGTAAAGAAGAATATAAAGCCTGTAAAAACGAGAGCTTTTGTTGGGATTTTTCATTATGTGGCAGATAGCAGTTATATTTTTTGCAGCGTGTGGTGTGGTCAGGTGCGCGATTGTGACTGTTACTATAGACCTAGGACAGAGCTCTTCACTCTTTGCAGTTAAAAAAATCACTTAATTTTTCAAAGAATTGTATTATTATTATAGTTTTATTTATTTGTTATGTTTTTTCGTTGTTGTTTTATAAATGCTCAATGACAATTGTTTAAAAAATGTTTCATCAAAACATGTTTTGTTTTTTTTTGTTAGTCGACTAATCGTTGCGCAGGACTCGACTTTGGTCGACTAAGGATTTCTTTGGTTGAATACAGCCCTACTGCAATCCTAGCTGCTGTTTGAACAATCAACAGTATCTGGTTGCGGCAGCTTTAAAATACAGCATTCTAGGTTTAGGAGAGATCATCGGATGCCCACCTTCTTGCAGGTGACCAGGTGCTTGGTGAGGCTGGAGGTCAGCAGGCATTCCAGCACCCTCTCTAAGCCAGTCCTCAGCTCCTGGTTGAGCAGTTCTCTCCACCCCGCTCCATTAACATCCTCTCCATTGGGCTGCTCTTGTAGGCACGGCTGACAGGAATACACCACACTCTCGGGTAGACTCGACAAGATCTCATACAAGTCATCTGTGATGAAACAGAAGTTTGAGGAGTAAGGCACAGATGCAAGAGGTTGATTTTCATATTGATGATTCAGAGTGGAGAATTTTCACACACAGTAGTCATCTGTGACAATTATTTTTCCCAGCAACTCCCTGAGAATGTGTCCATCAATAAAACAGAATGATTGCTAAACAATTGTGTTTATAAGTTTGGCCTGTGACCACAATAGTTTAAAAACAACTAAGATGGAGGAGGGAATTTCCTTTGCATGACAAGTTTTTTTCGAAAACATTTTATCCAAGGATACTTTTATATTCCAGCCACATACAAAAAACAAATCAATTAATTATCCAATAACACACAATAAATCATTTAATTATCTTAAAATGCACAATAAATAAGTATAAAATATTTATTTTCATCTGGAGGTTTGTGTCATTCAAATGAAAAAAAAAAAGATCATAAATTTAGATTGCAAGTTCAAATGTATTACATTTGATTGATACAAAATAAACAAATTAAGATGAAATAAAATTAAAGATATTAATAAATAAAATCTGTAAAAAACTAAATAAAAAAAATCTATAAAATAAAACCATGTGGCCATCCCACTCAAGGCAAGATCTGAAACGGTCACTCACCTGTCAGACCTTCACATTTAGCATGGACCCAGTGGTTGCAAGTGGAGCACTGCATCATTTGGCTATCGTAGTCATTATCTTCATAACATTTGAAGCACATGGTACAGTAGTTACCTAGACACAGAGAAAATTTTACTTTGTGCCGACGTGTTTGTCACACATGGCGTTTTTCACATAAAGTGTAGCTATTAAAAGGTCAGCCTGGTCGACAGCTAACATTTTTTTAGTCCATTAGTAAAAACATGGTCATGAGTTTCATGAGATCATAGCCTACACCCAATTGAGGTTTCCTTTACAACCAGGGCTTAATATTCACAGTTGTCAAGCGGCAAATGAGAGTACATGGAACAGTACACATGAGTCAGTCATATCAGTCACATGTTGGCTGGAAACATTTTTATGAATCCTAACACTGCAATGTTGTGAGAACATCAATGTGAATGAATGACACTCGAGACAGACGACGGGCCGGTGCTGTGTCGTCACGAAAGTTCATTTAAATATTCAAGAAGGTGTGAAAAGGAACTCAATTCGTAAAATAGAAATCTTTCGTAAAAAAAAAAAAGTTTGGGGTCAGTAATTTTTTTTCTTTCTATTTTTGAAAAGGATGTGTGAAATTGATAAAAAGTGATAGCGAAGATTTATATTGTTAGAAAAGATTTCCATTTTGAATAAATGCTGCTCTTTTTATCTTTTTATTCATCAAAGAGTCCTGAAAAAATATTAAGCAGCACAACTGTTTTCAACATTGATAACAGAGTATCAAACCAGCATATTAGAATGATTTCTGAATGATCATGTGACACTGGAAATGAAAATCCAAATAAATTATAAATTATATATAATATAAAAGTATATTAAAATAGAAAATCTTCATTATAAATTGTAATAATATTTTACAACATTTCTGTTTTTTTTCCTGTATTTTTTATTAAATAAATGCTAGCCTTGAGCCAAGTCAACAACACTAAAAATGCTTGAGGGAAATGCTGGTATCGTCACATTTTTACCGACTTAGTACTTTTGACAACTCTACTGCAGAGTGTAGGCAAAGGCCAAATAAAATCATCATGTTATGCCAAGAATAAAAAATCCTCAAGAGCTTGTATTTATTAACGGTACATTATTTTGTTGGCTTGAGTTAATCCGACTGGACGGGTGATGAAAAATTTAACACTAGGAAAGATCCCGAAGTCTCACCTTGATCAAACAGCCTAGTGCAGTCAGGACAAAGACCCTTGTCGTGATTCCACTCAGTGTCCCAGCTCTTTCCTGGAGTCACACCACAACTCTTGCACCGGATGCATGTCATACACACCTTAAAAAAAAAAAAAAAAAAAATGTCACTCAATAAATTTAAACATCGTCGTGAAACTATGACTGACCAAACATGAAAAAATTATTACATATATGCGTCATTATAAACGTATATAAAATATATATACATAGTGTATAGTCTACTATTACGGTTCTTTTTGAAGTCCTGGCAACTGTAAATGTTTGTTCAAAATTTTCCTGTCAATATGAGTTTTCATTTGTGGGTGAACTGAATTATACAATATAAACACACATTTACACCTCAATGTCTTTTCAACAAAAACGAACTGAAGTACTATTTTATGCTGCATGTTTGCGTTGGCATTCTACAGAAAAGCAATGTCTTGGAAGCAAAAGACTTCAAAGTAATACCGAACTATGTTTTGCAAGTGGAGGAAAGTCCCTCAGTGGACAACTTACCCAAGGCTTCTTACGTTTGTTGGGTTTGGGGTAGTTGGGACCCAGACAGGCAGGATGATAACAATTCTGACACCTTTCACACTCCAGCAGAGGCTGCAAAAAACATTTACCAGTGACATCAAAGCTGTTACAGATCAGCCGTTTCCATCGAAAAGTCCCTCTTGTGAGAACAAGACGTGTGTACACTACTGTTCAAAAGATTATTTCCACCAAATAAATTATTACTTTAATTCAGGGACGGTGCATTAATAATATTAACAATATTTATTAACAATACTATTACTAATAATAGTAACAATATTTCACAATATTACTGTTTTATTTTTAATTTTTTTTTTGTATCAAAATACAGTTAAGACCATTTCAGTCATAACCTTTAAATAAGGGTTAATGTTAGTGATGAATCGATGTGAAAATTGTGGCCGATACCGATATTAATATTGCTGTTATGGCCGATACCGATATTTATATCTCTGTATAGAAAACACATAGCGAGGATTAATAAGGGTCTTATCAAGCGAAACGATCGCTCATTTAAAAAAAAAAAAAATGCTCGCCTTGCTCTGTTCTGTGATGCACGTTTGTGACTCTCCTGTTTGAACTCGTTCATCAAAATGAACGAAACGAACAAATTGACTCAGAAAAAGATTTGTTCATTTTGATGACTGAGTTCAAACAGGAGAGTCACAAACAGAGCAAAGCAAGCATTTGAGCTTATAAAATTTAAACTTTGTTATTTATTTATTAAATGAGCGATCGTTTCGCTAGATAAGACCCGTGTTCATCGTCTGGAATCGTTAAAAGCCCTTTAAACAGTTTGCACTGAAAGTGTCTTTTGGACCTTGAACCGTTCGGTTCCCACTGAAGTCCATTATATGGAGAAAATCCTGGGAATGTTTATCAAAAACCTTAATTTCTTTTCGACTGAAGAAAGAATGACATGGACATCTTGGATGACATGGGGGTGAGTAAATTATCAGCAAAAGTTTTAAAAAAGTGAACTACTCCTTTAAAGAGATTGAGCATTTAAAGCGCACTTGGAACAAACAATATTTTCATCCTCTGGTGTCATGTTTTGGAGTGTCGCAAATTACCTTGGATGCTTTATTCTTGCAGCCACAAACGCGGCAGAACTTGCAGCGACGACAGCACCAGTTCTCCTTGTTTTCCTCCAGTGGACGCTCCGAAGGGTCCAAGCAGAAGCGATGGAAAGGCTCACAGCAGACTTGACAGTACAGCATCTGCACATGAAAATTCACAAGATTTTACTTCCAGGATTTCACAACTTCACTTTTTTCAGGATTTCACTCACTTGGGTTTTCCAAGTAAAGATGTTTTTCATGTATCATCAGTTAAGTAATATGAAAAAAAAAAAAATCACCTTAAAATAAACCCTTCTTATTATGTTGCTGAAATGAAGAGCAATCAGGACGTACCTCATGTTGGCCTTTACTGGCACACAGCAGGCAGGCGTACTGGGGCACGAGGGGTACAGACGTGAGGATGCTGAGACCTCCAGTCGCCCACACACTCTGTACGCTACAGTCCTCCTGTGGAAAAAAACAGAAAAGAGTAAGGAACGTTTTGGCACCACAGTTTCTGCCGCATGCTTTCATCACGCCCTGATTATTCCATAACAGAATCAAGTGCTGCCATCATGTGGCAAACCTTTGCACTGCTGAAATCTGAAGATCTGTGTGGATTACACATAAAACAAAACTTGACTTATACTCCGCTTTGTAAAGGAACATAGATATCTACCTTAAAATCAACACAAATCTTATGGGTGGGTTCTGCAGGCTCCTGTTCTCTCTCTGCGAAACCATTGGCGAGGGCTGCAAGGACGCTGGGTGGCGTCTGCTCCTGAGGGCTCTGCAAACAAAGGAACAATGGACGTTGCTTTCGATGCTTCAATGACATTTTGGCTGAATGAGGACAGGACTCTTTGAAAGAGTCCACCGGTATCAACAACATGAATACCTTCTCAACTTTCCGTTTGATAGGTGGAACCCTGTGGAAGCCAGGCCTGCGATGGCGCACTCCCTCGTCAAAAGCATCGCCAATGAAGTCGTCAAATGACACAAAATCTGTGGTGCATTTAATACAAACAGAACTAAATAATGCAAGCAAATAACAAGATTCTGGTTTCAATTCCACTTTTCAAAAAAATCAGAACCAGTTATGAATAAAGCCGTTTGTAGATTCCTGATCACTGAGGTCTAACCTGGGTTTCGAAGACCAGGGGTTCTCCTGCGGCCTGGGGAAGTGGAATTTGAAGCTCCTATCCAGTCGAAGTCGGAGTCATAATCCAGGAGGTCGCAGTACGAACGTGGTTTTACGTGTCGCCGCGGCTGTTTCCGCACAGATGGACTGTCGCCCATCCGCCCGGTCCCATCGCCGCCCTCACCTTCTTCATTACTTGAGTAACACACATTTATCATGGAGCGGCGCTTCTTCCCATGCCCTGACAAATAAGGACACATTTATAGCAGACGTACAAAGAATAAACAGAGCACTTCATTTTGTATGCCAGCTTTACAACACGTTCTTACCTTTTTGGAGCTTGCCACTTAGCCTCATGGCCTTCCTTTCTTCAACCTGATCACATCTCTTGTATCTTTAAAAAAAATTAATTATAATAATAAGAGAGAGTAGTTTAATTTGGACAGGAGTTGGTTGATTCCAAGTTCGAAAAATATGAGGACCTTGAATCAGACAAAAGCAAGAAAATTGTTGTACAAAATGTAATTATAACAGGGGCAGACATTATAAAAACTAACACATTTTTAATTAAAAAAAAAAAAAAAAAAACTAACAAACTAAAACAAATGGGTTTTACAATGCCCTTTTTTAGATGGATTTCTGTACAAAGGACACTTATTGGAAATGTAATTTGTGATTAATTAGAATGTATTGATATTTAACACATTGACTATTAATATAGATTCCTTCTTACTAATAATATATTCCATTTTTTGTAAAAAAAAAAAAAAAAAATTCCTTTGAACACATTTTCCCTGTATACATGGTGGTTGTTGACAAAGTTGTTAGTTTTTTAACAAAACTAAACCTACTTCAAAGTGTTTTTGTTAATTGAAATAAGCTAAAATAAAATAAGATACAAATATTAGTTGGAAAAACTTTGCCAAACGAACCTAAATGAAAATTTTAAATGTTGGCAATTAACTGATCTACTAAAACCACTAAAACAGGAATGAAAATAAGTTAAACCTAAACAGATATAAAGAAAAAAAAAAAAAAAAAAATATATATATATATATATATATATAATAAAATGTATATACAGCAATAAATAATACTAAAATAAAACTAGTTTTGAAAAGTATCTTTTTCCTCAATTAAAAAACAAATAAATATTAATGTTTACAAAATTAAAAGAGTCCCACTTTAATGGTGCAGTATGCAATATTGACCACTAGTGTTTGAAACGGGTATTGCAGACCAAATTCAAAACGGTGGAGTGTTGCCAGGTTGAGGACACACACAACACGGAAAACCTTAACTGACAATGGAAGCCAACAAACCCTACACTCTAAGTTGATCAGCTAATGTACTGTATCTGTGTTTTGATATGCCTCTGGTCATAGAGCTTTTTAAATGGATGCTGAGGCCTTTTAGGTCACTTAGAACCAGCGATCTCTGATCCAGTTTGTTTACTGGCTTCCATGACAACAATACCCTGTGTTTCCCGCCAACTGGCAATACTGTCGAAATACTATTGGGCAAATTGACAGCAGGCGAGATCACACAGACCAAAACAAAAACAGACAAAATTGTCAAAAAATTACATACAGCACCTTTAATATAAAATTAGTAGTGCAGGAAAAAAGCTGGTTTCTCCCATGAACTACTGTGCCTGAAAAAGACTGACTGCAGTAGTCTGGGTAAAATAACAAACATACTTACACACAGCACTGCCGTTTTGTGTTGGGGCCACCAAACTTGGGTTTGTCCAAGCAGTTGATGCACCTGCCACAGTCCTCCTCATGCAGGCAACCTTTACACTCCCCACACCGTCGGGACCGGTTCCCAAAGAAATGACCTCGACCGCGACGAAACTTTGGCGTCCTGTGTTCTTGCAATACAGGGCTTTCCGGGTCAGAATGAGACTCGACTCCTGCAGCAGTGATACAAAAATATTCAAAACAACGCCTTCATACACAATTAACAAAAGGTATCAAATATTATCAACAAATTAGTGTAGGCAACTACAATGCTGTCTAGTAGCTTACTAGGCTTTGGAACAGACCAGAAGTGTATTATTCATAAATCACATAAAATATAAACAGTAAGCAGCAGATTCACAAGAAAATATCCACTTAGAAAAGTTACACCAACTGAAGTCTATTATGACATCCTCTCTTAGGTTTATTGGTAATCTTTGCAGTTTGCAGAGTAAGTGATGGTACCTTTTTCTGCAGGTGAAGGGGATATGTCCGATCTCTCGTGCAGGGGTAGCGCACTAAGCCGCGGGATGTCATCGGGGATCATGGCACGAGGCTGACCCAAAACCACAGCTGCAGCTCTGCATACGTGCTTAATGCGAGGCCCCCCTCTGGCAGGTTCCTTATGGAGAGATTTGCAATGTATAAAACCAAAAGCACTCAAAAAAATCTGTTCTGTTCTCGTACTGGTTTGACTGGCATCATATTTGCTAAAATTATGTCAATAATTAGTGTGCACATATTTAGCATGTGGTAACCTAGTTACAATCTTCTATCTTTCTATCATATTTTTAGTACCAATACTAAAGTATAACGAAATCTAATAAGAATCAAACAAGTTTCTAGTGGATTGACTGAAAACAACACAAAACTCTGTTTATTTAGTAGGATTCTTATTTGATAAAAAAGGGAAAACCTGATACCTGCTCTGGAGAAGCATCAGTCTTGTTGGGGCAGGCATTTTTAAGCCGTTCTTTCGGTTTTCGTCTCTGTCTCTTTGTTGCTGTAATTCTACCCTCTGGCAAAAGCTACCACAAACAAGGTGTGACAACAGATGAAAACAATATTAAAAGCACTTCAATTATACACATGGCCAAAAAGCATCTACCAAGTACGAATTTCTTGAAGCATACACTATTGTTTAAAAGTTTAAGGTCATTATTTTTAATGTTTTTGAAAGCAGTTTCTTCCACACAAAGGATGCATTTATTGTACACAGCAAAAACATTAATATTGTGAAATATTATTACAATTTAAAATAACTGTTTTCTACTTTAATACATTATAAAATGTAATTTATTCCAGTGATGACAAAGCTGAATCATTCCAATATGCAGATTTGATGCTCAAGAAATATTTTTCACTATTATCAATGTAGAAAACTGTTGTGCAGCTTAATGTATTTGTGGAAACTGCCATTTTTGATCAATTGAATGCATCCTTGCTGAATAAAAAAAAAATAAAAAATCTAAATATGGGCTACCGTTACATACGTGTCCACATTACCCCATGACCACAAAGTATTTAGAAAAACAGATCATCTTAAAGGAAAGGTACACATTTACATAAATGGACGTACCCCAGATGATTTCAGCTGTTTCTGCTGATCTATTTTGATGAGTTGAACCTTGGCTTTCTTAAGGAGGTTAAACATGCGCTTGTTGGCTCCTGTCAGGCGAGGGCGCTGGGTGGTAGCTTTCTCCTCAATGTCAACGACATGTTTCTGAGTTTCCTCAGAAACCAGTCGTTCTGATTCTGTGAGGTGTATCTTATCAAAGTCTGAAAAAGAACAAATGAGTATGGACAGGTTAAAACCAAAATACAGCCAAGCAGGACTTTGACATAATTATTTGAAGCATTATTTGACATAAAATACTCAATGGTTGAAGAAACCATGAACTGTGTTAAATTAACTGTTAACTAATCCAGGGCTCCAGACTAACTTTTTACCTTGGTTGTAGTGGTGCGCCAAATTTTTATTTAGGTGCACCCACATTTTTCCTCGGCTCACGTCACTTTTAACGCCACAATTTCAAGGTCACCTTTTTACTGCGCTCCATATACATTCATATATATATATATATTATGTAAATGATTTTAAACAAGAATAAGATATAGGTAAATACTTTTTTTATTATTTGAAGCACAATTATACTGTATATAAAAATAAAAATATTTTTTTTTAAAAACAACAAAATGTTTAAAGTGAGCTGCCAAACTAACACATTTTAAGCAAAATAAAATATTTCAAAATAAATAATAAGTAGACAGTACTACTGTTTAAAAGTTCTTCCCTGACCTGATGGCTGAAGTAGCTCTATGTCTGGTAGGGCTGAACGATTATGGAAAATAATCGTGATTTTGTGATTTTTTTAACCAATATTGCGATTGCGATTTAATATACGATTTTTTTTTTTAAAGTTCTTCACCTTCTGTATTAGTCGATTATTAACACTTAAAATATGTATTTAATTACATGTGTAAAAACACATACTTTAAAAAAATAAATAAATATAAAAAAAGCATTTAACTAAACCAATTACATGTTAGGTGGAGTGATTTCCCCCTCAGTTTAGATACGATAAGCTGCATTCACACTAATGCACATATCTCTATTAAAATTGTAAATGTGGTTTGTCCTATTGGTTTAAGATATAACTGACCACGTTTAAATTAATTTCGCGTCACAAAAGCATTTTGACGTGCAAGTACTTTTAACCAATGAGTCGCTCACAGCCGCATGCACGAGCGCTCTTCACAAAGCACACGTTTGTATTTTAAAATGAAAGCAGCCTCTGTGATTTTCATATTTTTAATATATAAGCCAACTGCTTTCCAAAAGACATAAATAATGCCTTTGTGAAGCATTTGTAAGGAAAATTCCCGTGGGAGACAACGCGCACTGCAAGAGTAATGTTATAACATCAAGCAAAGCGGCAAAACCTGTGCAATGAAGCCCGCGAATGTCCTTGTAATTCGGTTAAACCCCGAACGAGTATGAAATACCATGTTTCAGGAGGTTCGAACGGTGTCTCGTGTGTGTGTGTGTGTGTGTGTGTGTGAGTGAGTGAGTGAGAAAGAGAGCGAGAGAGAGAGAGCAAGAAAATAGAAGCAAGCAGAACACTGTTGCAGCGTCATCATGTTAAACGTGTGTATTAAACACCATAAGGTGCATATCATATGCATGCAAAAACTATTTTTGCTGTATTAATGGCACAAGAAATAAAATTTGTGCAATCAACAGGCTTTCATGAGATCGTGGCAGGCTTTAACGAGCAGCAGTGGGTCCGAAATTTTAAGATGAACAAGCTTTGATATGTTGTGTCAACGTTTGTCCACATTCCTCTCCTCCGACGATACACTGTTTCGTCGGGCCATCATCCCCTTTGCAGATGCGCATTGGGGTTTCTCTCGTCATTAAACCACGAATGTAGCCTAACGCCTCAGAAAATCCAAACAGCCTGTTTAAATGACAGTCACATTGGCACATATCTGATTTATATCTCATTTATTTCCACATATGAACGAGGCCTAAAACCGATCTCGAAACATCCGAATGCATGCGCTTTTTCCTGTTTACACAGTCATAGAACACATCCGATCGGTCACATATGAGCAAAAAAAATCGGACTTGGGTCACATTTCACTGACAGTGTAAACGAGGCCTGATTCTCTGGTGCTCAGGTCGCAATTTCAATCACACAGCATGGGGCACGAGGAATATCTACAGGAATATCTGGACCACAGCCAATCAGAGGCAAAGACACGCCCCATCTCTGTCTCTGATTGTTTAGACCACGATACGATCCAACCATAAGTGTGAGTTCCGTCAAAGGAGAACAAGTGCTTCGTTCGTGGAGAGCAGATGCAAGGACGTTAAGTGCACCGGTGCGACCGAGGAAAAATTTTAGTTGCACCCTTACAAATTTTGGTCGTACTCTAGAGCCCTGTAATAGGAACATTTTAGAAAGAAAATTTGGTAACAATTTATTTTACAGTGTCCTTGTTACATATGTTACATGTACTTACCATAGTAATAACAGTAAATTGTGCATAATTACATGCAACTAACCCTCAACCAAACCCTAATCCTATAGTAAGTACATGTTGTTAATAAATATTACTCAGTGTACTCAGTTTCAAATAAAGTGAAACAGAAATTTCTTTGGCATAACGTGAACTGATGATTAGTTCATAACGAGACCAGGAATATGTTTTACAAGTTTATCTGATATCAAGTGTATTTTAAGGCAGACAGCATTTATTTATAATTAAAGGTTTAGACAAATAAAATCTTTGCCTACCTTTGCATTTATTGGGAAGAGAGATGTCTGTATGAATGGAAAACTCATCTGGCAGGTCATCCTCTTGGATGTCTTTTGCCTGGTGTTGCGCCAGCAACTTGGCACTCAGAGCTCGGACACAGATGGAGACTTTGCGAACAACCCCAGGGGTGTTGAGATCCTCAATCTTGAGTTTTGCTTTTTCTTTCTTCATGTCTCTGAGAGACTTTATTAGACTTGCCCCTTCATCCAACTCCTTCCTCTGTGTCTTGGCAGGGGATGATACAACTTTGCCTATTTTGTCCTTTGGGGTCTTTTTACACCTTGAGAGACTCTGTTTGAGTTTAAGCTTTTTGTATAACCTAAATTTTGATGTTTGCGCTTTGAATTTTGAGGATTTTTTCTTCTTTTGGAGAGGATCAAGCAACGAGTCCACTGTAAAATCTTTGGCAGATAGCAAGGTCTCCAACTCCTTGTCAAGATCTTCATCAAAGGTATACACATCGTCATTGGCAGGCTCCAGCACTCCCCATTTGAAACCCGGATCTCTGAGTAGCGATCGCCTTTTCCCAGGCTGCTTCTCCTCACTGAAGATCTCAGCGTCATCAGGTGATTTAGGTTTTGAGTCCCAAACTGAAGACAAATCAAGATCAGTTTCACTCAATTCATCTTCGTCCTGAGACTGAAGAGATCCAAGTTCACCGCATTCGTTGGATTCAGGTTTCTTTGATTTCGATTGTAGACCAAGCTTCTTTTGCGAGTTCTTGCGGGGAAGATCGGACATACCAAGATCATCCATGAACCTCTTTGGCGTTTTGATAACCCGAGAGGATCGGGCACTAACAACTGGCATTATGAAATGTCTGATGGTTTTCACAAACTTCGTTTTGCTGCGTTGGATGTCTTGATCTTGGTCTGTTTTCACATTCACAGAATCCGTTTCGGCCTGATCGGAAAGTTGATCACCGCTGGCGTTCTCCAACTGCTTGGATAAGAGCTTAGCTTTTTTCCGTTTACCCTCTAATGACTGAAGACTCGAAATCTGTTTCCTCTTGTACTTTGTTGAGAATATACCAACTAGTTTAGACTCTCCAACTTCAGACCCCATCATCGTTGGGCAATCGTCCCCAACCTCAACCATTTTCCTCTTTTGCAATTTCGGATTTCTTATTCGCCGTCCAATCAAAGACTTTCTTCTACGCTTGACCCGTTTTATTTGCCTGTGTGGGGGACGAGGTACCTGTGGGTGATCTCCCACAGAAGGCTCTAAAACTAGAACCTCTTCAGTTTCAATTGATGCCGTCTCAAGTTTTATCTCTGGCAGGGGTTCTGTCCCAAGATAAGGACTGGCTGGAGGTGATTTAACAGTTTGTTCGACGACCTGAGATTCGGCTGCTTCAGGTAATGGTTCTGTAGCTGGTGGAATTGACCTTTTACCTTTTTTCCGCGCACCTTTACTTAATTGCCTTTTTGGTTTGGATTCTACAGGTGCTGGTACAGGTGCTGGTACAGATGTTGGCGATACTGGCGATTCCTCCACCTGAGATTCAGTTTCAGTTGCAACTTCAGAAGCAGGTTTTTCTTGAGATTCATTCGATTTGCCCTTCCGCCTGCACTTTCGTCTGTAAATTGTCCAGTGATTACGTTTTGTACGTTTCTTCCGAGCAGTGTTTTGACATAGCTTGTTCCGTACTTTGGGGGTAGGAGTGGTAGCAGTAATTTCCAACACGTTCTCTGTCTTTTCTGAATGCTGATGGTCTTCAACTTTCGCAGGTTCTTTTATTTCAGGTGAAGTTTTAACTTGCTGAATTAAAAAGGATTGCTTTAAACTGTTGTTTTTACCTGGAGAGGAGACAACTTTGATTTGAAGTGGTGGAACGGTATCTTTACTTATCAGATCTTCAGGGTCCGTCTGAGTGGCCTCATCTGGATGTGCTTCAGTTGCAATTTCTGACTTTTCAAGAGCCTCCTTGTTTTCCTTTTCTAGGGTCTCCTCAACCTTCTCAATGTCCACTGGGTTCTCTGGGCTTTCAGGAAATAGATCACTGGCAATGTTCTCTATGATTTGCGACTCCTGTGAAGAGCTAGCTTCCAAGGTATTGGAAGGAGCAGATGTGGATTCTGCTTCTGTAGAAACATCTACTTCATCATCACATTTAGAGGTCACAAGTTCAGCGTCTGCGGTAGGGCTTTCATCTGCTTTGCTTGGACTGTCTTGGACTTGAGAGTCTTGGGGTTTGATTTCTTGCAATTCGTTGAGATCATCTTGGACTTGGGAATTTTTGCTTTTGCTTTCTTGGATTTTGCTTGGATCCTCTTGGATGTGTGAATCTTTGCTTTTGCTTTTCACTAGTGTGAGAGTCCACACAAACTTGCAGCGTCTCTTGCGAGAACGGGCTTTGGGGTTTCGTATTCTGGTCAGTTTCAAACCTGGAATTCCGACAAAATCATTGTCAAAAGAGAGTTTTTGAGGATCATCAGCTGAGTGGCAGAGATCTTTTGCTGTTGGTGCATGGGGCTCCTGATTCCTTTCAGATTCTTTACGATTTTTCTTCTTCTTTTTCTTTTTCTTCTTCTTTGAAGGTGACCTGGATTCATCAATTGTTGAGACCTCCAAAATCGACTCTGCTAAACTCTGGTTTCCAGATTCCCGTGGAACATTTGAGGACCTTCTGCGTTGTCTCCTAATTACAAGCTTATTTACCTCTGACGCCTCTTGTTCTGACTTATCGTCGGGTTTTGGCTCCACACTTTCATTGAGAGGTGGATTTTGAGACCTTCGAGTTGATTTCCTCAGCTTGAGTTTTTGGTCATTGGTCTCTTTTTTAGTATCCGTTTGTGGAGTGGACTCTACTTTCTTGTCAGCAGATCTACCTCGCCTTCTGGTACAAACCTCATCCTTTGCCTCACCAGCATTGATTTCACTGGCTGGTACGTTCGTCTTTAATTTCACATGAGTATTTGAGATTTGGGCACACTGACTTTCTGTAACTTCAGATTGGATTTCCTTCTGTTTTTTACCAGTTCTACGTTGGACTTTAACCACTGTCTTTTTTGCCACCAACTTGATTGTGATCCTTGGAGTTGATTGGGTCTCCCGTTTTCTTGACCCCCTTTTTCTCCTGGTGGGCTTCTCTGGTCCTCCACCACCACCACCACCATCATCATCTACTGATGTGTCCTTTAGAGACTCTTGACTGTGTAGTTGCTGAACAGAACATAAATCATTTTGAGGATCTTCTGAACCTGTTTTTTCCACTAAAGGAGAGACTGAAAGAGTCAGCCTTTGACGTATCCTCCTTGACGACTTTGCAGAAGCACGATCACCTGAAACAGATGATTCAAGATTAAATTAAATTTTATTATATTCATTCCACAGTGGTCAAGTGATTCAAACATGTTCGGGCTTAAGCTCCAGTGACTATTAATTGAAAACTGAAATAATAACATGTATCTTTTAAATGAGCTATGCCAACACTGTTTGTTCTCGTCTCGAGTCAGTGAAGTGACCCTCTGTTGTACAAGATGAAAAATTACTAAAATAACTCAAATCACATGGGATCAGTTTATGGTATAATAAAGCTACAATACAAACACAAACTTTGGGGATTTTCTGATTTATTTGCATTTGAAGCCACACTTACGTTTGTTTGGATTTCGTCCAGCCCGAACCGGGGCGCTGCTGTTTTCGTTTTGAATATCAAAGCCTTTGAATTCAGCTCCCTAAAAGTCAAAAAGAGATTTGAATTTGACATGCGTAACTTGTTTCAAGTCTAGGCTACATTTTACTTGTTTGTTGTCTTTTTACATCATTCACTTTGTGTACAAGTCACATAAATACACTACAGTTCTAAAGTTTGGGGTCAGTAAGGTGATATTTGGGATATTTTTAAAAGAAATTAATACTTTTATTTAGCAAGGGCACACAAAATTAATTGACAGTAAAGATGTATAATTGCTGTTCTTTTAACCTTTCTATTATTCAAAAAAGTCTGAAAAAAATGTTTCACAATTTACATAAAAATATTAAGCAGCTCATAATCAGTGGTTAACACTGATAATAATCTTCAATGAGCATTTAAAAAATATATTTAAATATAGAAAACAGTTATTTTAAATTGTTACTGTTTTACAGTATTTTTGATCAAATAAATGGAGCTTTGGTGAGCAATGAGCATAAGAGACAAATCAAAAAATCAAATTTCTCAAAAGTAGTGTACATGGAAACGCCAGTTAAAAAAGGCTAAACAAAAAGGAGAAACAAGATATAAAAAAAGCATTCATTGCATATTTGTCAAAATGTTGCCGAGGACTTAAAACAGGTAGTACATATTTTTAAGAGACCACTGAACATTTATAAAGGGGTTGTTCTTCATCTATGTTTTGTGGCACTTTTCTGCATAATGAGCATCATAGGATAGCTGAATGTCTTGTTTAAATTCACCTTGTCAATGTACTGAATATAAACAGAACACCACAACAACAAAGTAATGCCATTTCTGTGTTTGACAAATGTAAGGCCTTATAACTGTTAAAACACTGAACTGTAGAAGACATAACTCTCTTGTTTCACACTTCACAGAACACTGTTCATGCTCAAAGACAAAGAAATAACTGAACTGAAACAACTCCACTATTCTGTTGTGTGAAACAACGCAACTGGAACAAGTAAACTCGAAAATAACTGAATAATTATTTAGTATTAACCAAGAAAACGCCCTCAGGTAAAGTACTGTTTATACACAATCTCTGTTATTTTAACATCTATTTGAAACATAAAAAAATATGTCTTTTGATAAGTTTACATGCAGCATGGTCAAATATATGTCTCTGGCTCTGCACTGACTAATATCACATCCTATACACAATATTACAACAGATAGCATGTTGGCAGAGAGATACCCTGCAAACTTGTCAAATCTGGACACAGTACTTCAAGTTTACAGAAGTTAAGTGAAAACCGAAACCATAAACCTCACAGAAGCAAATATACAGACAATGGCCCGTATCTATTTTTATACGCGTTAGAGTCTTCAAACCTTCAAAGTACACAAAACTTTAACCTTAAACATCTTTTTTTTTTTTTTTTCAGTTGCATCTTTCTGCTCAGGCGACACAACACAAGTAACCATAGCACATTTCCATGCCAATGATACATGACGCATAGGTGAAAAAAGTGCGCCAGAAAAAAGCTGCATACAGGGTTCCCATGCCTCTTGACCAATGAATTCATGTGACTTTTCTCATTGTTCAAGATTACAGGATAAGGACTTTTAGAAAGAATTTGTGCACTCGCAAAGAGCAATTTCTGGCTAAAGCCAAGCACAACTATTAAAACTACACACATTTCCATGAATTTAACAGGTGTGCGAATCATAGTTTTACAATTCATTATATATCCAGGATTTCCATTATCATGGAAACGCTGTACATAACACTGACCAGCACACTGGCACAACACATCAATCCACATCAAATACATCAGTTTTGAAATTGTAATAGGCATTTATGTTGATACGATACAGCTATACCTAAATCAAGACAGGTTTGTCAATTTTATTGTTCATTTTGTAGCCTTGCCCACAAGGTTATGATAATACAACATAAAAAAACACCTATGTTGCTACAACAGTACAGTTTTTGATAAGTACTTGTTTACTGTACAAAAAAACATAGTAAAATGGCTCACAATTTAAAATGGTCACATACTGACACACCTAAGTAAATATATATATATGTGTGATGATAAAGTTCAATTCAGAACAAGACGTGACGTCAGTATGAGAATTTATAGAATAATAAAGTTGTGCTGGTAATAAAAGTAACAAGACATACCTTAGATATACCGTAACATGGGTACATGGGTAAACATACTAAAAGTATTTATTTTAATACAACACTATACCTGAAGTCAACATATATTAGGTCTAAAATTTACAAATATAATTATCCAAAAATATTATAACTGAAATCTACATATATATATTTTTTTTTTCAATTACAATATGAATTTACATCATTTGTTGCCAATACACAGGGGAATTTTAAAACAAGGACTAGGGACAAACTAATATGCATCATCATTATATATATATAAAAAAAACTGATGGAAATGAAATAAGAAATAAATTCACTGGATTTTGTCTGATGTGTTCCCACAAATCCCACACCGCATAAGTAACACACAGTGAAAGTTTTTGTCAGCTGTGCATAGATAACGATACCCACATATATATGCATTGACTGTCGTGGAATGACCTTCTAAGCATTAAAGTAACATCATTGTTCTTCACTGCAGGTGATCCACCAGCAATGAATACTCTTATCAGCAATCTGTCACAAGAATCAAGTCCAGTAAACTGGGTGTTGCAACTGGTGCATGCATAGGGAGAAAAAAAAGACCATATGCACGTGCAAAGAGGATCAGTTAACGCATACAGTGGTGTTTATATGCAACACCTACAGCTGTATAAAACGAAATTGAAAAATTTCAAACTGCATGATCTCTGACCCACAATCTGCTATGAGCTACAATGCTACAGTATCTGCCCCCCTCCCCCTCCGTGTGTTAGTAACGCTATACGGCAGTCACTGCGCTCGCGCTACTTGTATTCTTATTCCTTCCTCTGAAACACGGTCGCGTAAAAACAAGCTAGCAATGGTGCATTAGATTGCTACAGTAAAAACCGCCAGTTTGAGCCATGCACTCACCTCTTCGCTCCCACTCGAGCTGTACCCAGCCTCTCCCAGGCTCTTGTAGCTCGCCTCAAGCCCGAGAAGGCGCAAGTGAGACTGGTCCTCGTTCAGCGCGAGCACCAGGCAGGTGGGCCTCGGGCCTCCGTTGAAGGAGATCTCGTCTAGATCTGTGCCAGAGCGTCCGAGCTGCCATCGCTTCTCCGAACGCAAACGGCTTCGCGACGACCAAGGCCGACCGGGGAAGCGACCCCGCGCCGCGCCCATACCGCCTGCGCCCACAACGGCAGCCGCGGTTGCTGATCCGCATCCCGCTGCCGCCATCATCGCATCAACAACAACACCGATAGACAGAAACTCCGGCTGCGAGAAGAGGGAAAGCGCTGATGGGAGGGGAGTGGACGCGCGCTGCACTATGGGAAGTGTAGGCTGGGAATGAGGTGTACTTCCAAAACATCTAGACAGAATTTCCAAAACATCTGGACAGAACTGTTGAATATTTATTCTTTAATATATCGTTGTTATATATATATATATATATATATATATATATATATATATATATATATATATATATATATATATATATATATATATATATATTGTTTTAATATTTGTATATGTCAATATAGCCTACAATACAAGATTGTATTTATGTATTAAACTACATCATGTATTTATAATTGTTATTTCTTATTTAATAGATAATAATTATATATCAAATAAAACTTGTGGGGGAAAAATATTATTTGGAATATCAATGATTCTATTGGTCAGAAGATAAGTGCTTGCTTTTAGTGAGGGAAATAGTACCGTTATACTATTGTTATAACATTTCAGAGATTTTAACCATTTGAATAGACCAAATGAAAAAAAAGAGCCTCCATGCGCATCATTTTCCATGCATGCATTTTTTTAACATCTAGTCAAATATAATGTTTTATGGATTTCACAATAAGCATATTGTTTATGTATGCAATATTGTAAACATATTTGATAATAATATTTAAATGTAGTAGTTTTAGTATTAGTATTAGTAGTTTAATAGTTAAAATGTATTTACATCATGTCAGATATTTACTGTTATGTATGCTTTAAACATTATTGGATTGTAGTAGCAAAAATACAAAAAAATAATAATAATACTGTAAGAATAAAGGCAATTTAAAAATGAAGCATCTGTAGCCTACACATTATAGAGCAAATAATTTTGTGGGGAACTGTAATGAAATTAAGGGCAAATATAGACCAAAGGGTGTAAGGTTCTAACCCATGATTTAAATAGGCTACCAGTCACGCGCTTCACGCTTGTCCTAGAAAACTCCATTAACCATCATGCAACACCGGAGTAGCATCATGTCATAGTTTCATCAGGAAGCGGAACCATAAAAGTTGTTTCCCCCCTCGCCTTTGTTGTGTTAAACCCTCCGTTTTCTCATCTGAGCTCGGCTGTTAAGGTATCAACCCACCTTCATTAAAACAAACGATCAGTTTAAGGTTTTAGAGAAGACAGTCTGACGCACGAGATCGGTTTTTGTTTGCTCGCAGTCCAGTAATGCTGTTTTGACTGAGGTGTATGTTTAGAAAATCCATCTTATTGCTCTTATTATTTTGACTGTTTTGCAAGCAGTGTCTTAATTGTGTTGATTAGATGATTTGATTTAATGACAAAGCTGTGACGGGGGCTTAAATGCGTTATGTTTCACAATAATCCTAATTTGCCTTTATCTGTAGCGATCATGTGAATCACGGTGTTATGGCAGTACTGTTTTCAATAGGCAGATGGCAGCAATGATTCAGGATATTGATAAGTTCACTTAGATATCCGTCTCTGGATTTATCAACGGACTCTTTTCTTCACAGACAACTATGAATCTTGAACGGATTCCCAATGAAGAGAAGCTTCAGCTTTGCAGAAGATACTACCTAGGTAAGCTGTGACAATGGGATATCATGATACTTCAATTTTTGTGTAGTGCACTGCACAAGTGTTGTTTTGTGTAGTGCACTGCACAAGTGTTGTTGTTTTCAATGTGCTCATTTTTACCTCAGGTGGTTTTGCATTCCTCCCCTTTCTGTGGCTGGTTAATGTGATGTGGTTTTTCAAAGAGGCCTTTTTAAAACCTGCGTACACAGAACAACCACAGCTCAAATCTTGTGAGTATGTGACAATACATGTCATGAATCACACTTTTCACAAAACTTGCGTTTTACCACATTGCTGTGGGTGATAATCTTCCTTACAACTCTTCCCACAATCTGTTTCTTTAAAAAGGTCTAAACTCAGATATTAAGTCAGGAGGGAGTCTCGTTGCCACCATTTGATTTGCAAAAAAACCTCCAGAAAATATTCAGATCGCAGAGATGTACAAGCCGATAGATTGCCGTTCCCTCGCTGGAATTCTTGAGCCGAGTTTGTGTAAACTCGAGAGTGTGTTTATATGCAAGCCTCGTGATACTTTTAAGGGCATATTTTGAGTCCAGGAAATAGTTTAAGGAGTTACTTGTGTTCATCAATCACTTTTATTAAATATAATGTTATATTTAAGCAGTTAGGTTTGAGAAATCATGCTGTATTGTGAATATTATTCTCCATTATGGTGATCATTGTTGCTTTTAAACAGCTGCTACCATAAAGTGAATTTATTAACTGATGAAATGGATAAAAGCGTCTGCCAAATGCATGAACATAAATAGCACAATATTTCATTAAAACATTATTTTTTTAAGCCAGCTGAGTTGCCCTTTATACATAGTTAGATGTTGATTACACCTTTTTTATATTGTATTTCATATTTTTATATGGAACAGTTTATTTAATTTATTAGGAATACCATATAACCAAATTTGTTTACATTTGTTAATTTATCATATTTGATGCATATAGGAAGGGGGAAATATCACAATTTAATTCAGAAGTCCAAACCAAGCAAAAATATGCAATTTAGTACAGTTACTGATATTTATATGGCTAAGATATATCGGACTACATGCATGTATAGTTGTCGCTCCTTATCTCCCAATAATATGTTTTAGTTAGATGTTTAATTGCTTAGTTTTATGATTGAAGCGGTGTAGTTTTAATTGTGAAGAGCAAAATATATAATGAGAATGAATGAGAAATAAATGTTCCTCAACCTGTTGTATCATATTTGATACTCACATTTAAACACAATGTATGAATATTCAAGTAAACTTGCATTCAAGATTAAGATTTCACAGCAAAAGTTTAGTGTTTGAAATCTAGGATGTAATGTATACTGCTTCTTCTTCCACCTTCACCAGATGTAAAGAAGTCGGCTATGGGGCTTTTACTGTGGGTGGCCGTGCTGACGACGTGGATCACCATTTTCCAGCATTTCAGAGCACGGTGGGGTGAGGTGGGAGATTACCTCTCCTTCACCATTCCACTCGGCACAGCCTGATCAGATGACGCTGCTTTAAAATACCTCTTCTTTTTTTTTTTTATTCTCCTCCTATCGACATGATGCTCCTTCGCTAATTTGACCACTGTTGTCTCTGTTGTCCATTAATAAAAATTGTGTTTTGCACCATTTCAAATAAAATCTGAAAATTTCCTGCAGTGTCACTGTCTTAATCATGTAAAATACAGAAATATATGAAAATTAGCCATTTAAATAATTTAGAAATACAATTTTTAAAGCTTGTAAGATTTAGAAGAGTTAGAGGTAGAGTTTTACCTTTTTTATCCAGTGGTGGGAGATTTTGGGCATTAACAAGCAAAAAAAAAAAAAAAGTTAAAATTTACTTATTGATGTGCATGCAGCATATAGGATTCTCACTGTTAGAAACAATTTGTCAAAAAAAACTTTTCTTATGTTCAGGTGTGTGATATGATAACGACTTGAAATCATAATTTTAAATTTAAGAAACTACTTGGAATATTTGTACTTTAAAAAAGTCACATGGCAAGAAATCAGAGATGAAAACCTTAAAAGAGTAGTTCACTTTAAAAATAAATAAATCTTTTGCTGATAATTTACTCACCCCATGCCATCCAAGATATCCATGTCATTCTTTCTTCAGTTGAAAAGAAATTAAGGTTTTTCCAGTATTTTTCTCCATATAATGCACTTCAATGGGAACCAAACGGTTCAAGGTCTAAAGACAGTTTCAGTCCAAACTGTTCAAAGGTCTTTAAACGATTCCAGACGATGAACAAGGGTCTTATCAAGCGAAACGATCACTCATCAAAAAAAAAAAAAAAACTTAGTTTTATACGCTTAAATGCTTTCCTTGCTCTGCTCTGTGCTGCGCGTTTGTGACTCTCCTATTCGAATGAACGAATCTTTTCCAGAGTCAACTCGTTCATTTCGTTTGTTTGAAAAATGATTTGTTCATTTTAATGAACAAGTTCAAACAGGAGAGTCACGAACAAACATCAACAGAGCAAGGCGAGCATTTGAGCTTATAAAACTTTTTTTTTTTTAATGAGCGATCGTTTCGCTTGATAAGACCCTTATTCATCACCTGGAATCGTTTAAAGCCCTTTGAACAGTTTGCAGTTTGCACTGAAACTGTCTTTTGGACCTTGAACTGTTTGGTTCCCACTGAAGTCCATTATATGGAGAAAAATGCTGGAAAGTTTTCATCAAAAACCTTAATTTCTTTTCGACTGAAGAAAGAAAGACATGGATATCTTGGTTGACATGGGGGTGAGTAAATTATCAGCAAAGTTTTTTTTTTTTAAAGTGAACTACTCCTTTAACTAGAGCAAAAATGCACACGTTTGTTTAATACAACCGGATTTTAGTGGAACGTTGAAAAGAAAATCTATCTCCATTAATCAGCCACTCATTTTCCATTTTTAGAGCTTGTGAGTGGAAAATGAAAGCATCAAATGGCCAAGAGGGTTCTAGCGAAATCCACACGATGAACGAATTCCCTTGTTCTCTCGCTCACTAATCAACAAAGCTTGCAATCATTTAAACCTTCTGCATACCAGACTCTGTAATATCGACGCATGAAGCCTCTGTCTCATTTGTAACCCCTTGCAGGCGCCTATTATGAAATTCGATCCAACTTTCGAGCGAACGCTAAGCCCCTCGTGGATCTTCTCGGGTGCTGTTTTTAGTTGCCTATAGCCAGTGCACACTGCACAGACAGAAAGTTCTGCTTCTGCTACCAGCGGATGGCAACAGCAGAAGGACATGTTATCCTCTTGCACTCCTGCCAGTACACTGGTCATGGTTTAAATCAAAGGGCCACGTGTGGTCATTAGAGTTGATGAAGGTCCATGTGAAGATGTCCTTTGAAATGAGCTGTGAATTATTCTGTTGTTGGAGGTCAGCAGTAGGACTGTGTTTAGTGTGACATAATAATGTTAATATGAATCCATCGGACTGGACAGATTGAAAACTTTTCAACAGAGATCTCGAAATGTGTCGATTCCACTGCCTTTTTACTGATAGACATCTCCCGTAATGTATCAGGCACAAATAGCTTTCCATCATTAGCTTAGGACTTTTTTTAATAGATGTGTTTACGTTTTAGGATTTGTATTATGTAATGGCATTCAACGTGTTACTTGATAAACAGACTAATAGCAATATGGCATCATACGTTTCTTAGGAATGCCTCCCCAACCACATTTCATTAACACTAAGACAGAAAATGCCAACGACTGACAGGATGGCATGTGGGTGTGTCTGTTCAATATTGCAGAATAACTACAATTTCAGATTCTGGAATAGCCTCAAGTTAAATTACTTCAATACTGCTTGAATCAACATAACATTATTACTGGTTTCATTTAATTGCAGATTAGTTTGTGTAGGTATGGAGAAAATGATTAACAAGTTGAGGTCAGCAAAATTGGGACACTTTTTGGTAAACTGTGTATTAAATACAAGTAAATCTACCTGCATGATTAATGTTTTAAACTAATGCTTAAGGTCTCTTGTACCTTCAACTATGGGTTTTGAAGGATATGGGTCTTTTTTCTCTTAATTTACAGAGATTAAAGAGATTATTCAACAGCCGTTTTCAGGTAAAGTGGGACACATTTTCATCTAGTTTGTGCTCGGACAGTACAATTACAACAGGATATTGTACAAATCCTTTTTTGGGGAAAAGAATAACTATATTGAAAGTGAACTAAATACACACTAGCAGCTATATTGTTCTTGTTGTGTTTGTTTTCAGAAAACCATTAGCTTTTGCATATTCAAAGACAAATGTTTGCAAAAGAAGCTTTAATATGTTTCCTTAATATGTTTCCTTTCTTACATAGGGGGTAGGGAGTAGTGGTTTGAGTGGAGATCATTTCGGACACAGCCTTTTGTCGCATTTTAGCTGATTTCTCACTTTTGCTGACTTGACCCTATGGATTTATCGCTTTACCATGGATAAATAGATAAACCTCACAGTAAAACAAATGGTAATCAATGTGCCAAAAAAACTTGGTTAGTGAAAGTAACATAGTGTCAGCCCAGATCCAGCCCACATGGTACGCGTGGAATCCATATATACCAGATGTGGCCCGGATCTGGGCCGACACTATGTTGCTTTCAGGAACACTTTTACTACAATAGCATAAAACCATTTTTCGTAAGGCCTACAGCAAGGCAAACAAACAACAAAAACAAGAGAATGTTAATCTGTTTTTACAAGGCGATAAATTATTTATAGTCTTTTTGAGTTATGAGTCCAGTCTAAAATTAGACAAATGTGTGTCATCTACTACAGCATGTGTTTTTTTTTTTTTTTTTTTTATTTCCCACATATTAAAATAATTTCTGTCAGGATTTTTTTCTGTTTCTGCATGACCGAATTGTACAATTGGCGCCCCAACGCAAACATTATTATAAAAAAGACAAATTTTGAAATCTAAGCTACTTGCGAAATATAAAAGTGCAATAAAGTGAAAAATGTGTTGTTTTTTTTGGTGGTTAGGCCTTCTGAAAGTGTATGACAATTTTGCTGGAAATATAAATACTCACTTTCGTATAGAAAACGAATGCATTTTTAAGACCCCTCTTTTTACTTTTTGACCCTCATCTGAGCGCGGATTGGACTCTTTATATAAGTAATCTTATATAAGTATAAGTAGCCAAATAAGCTTCACGGATTAGTTGTAATAAGTGTTTTTGTGTATTTGATGTCTTTTTGGGAGGGGTGGGGGTGTATCTGTACTGTTTTTGTGTTGTTTTTTTTGTGTGATGTGTAGGCCCTATGTGTGGCATATATGCATGGCATGGGCTTTGGGGCCAGTGTGTTGATATAAATTAAGTGGTATATGTGGGCATACCAAGACACATCAACTGTATTGTTCAAATGGCTAAATAAATCTTTGACTTTGACTTTATGCGCCGGACACACACATACGACTTTTTGACATTGAATGGTCGCACATTCAGTTTTTGTGTCTCTCTTTGCTTAATATAAAACAGGCAAGGTGATGACAGAGAAGGCAACTATTTGAATCGTGTTCCACCACGTCGAATGAATCATTACATAATGTGGATACCATGGGAATAATGGGAGGAGTTAAACCACCCCACTCCTGTCATTGGCATACAACAAATGCAGCTTTAAAACACCATGATTAAGTATCTCAGATCTCGACAGCACCATCAATCAATCCACTTATTTATGGAATTTGTTTAGAGGAAGAGCTCCCGAGAAGGGGTGGCGTTTAAGCCTTTATAAACCTGAGTTCAAACTTAAAGAGCAAGTGCTTTCCTGCTTTCTTCTCCCAGAGCAGCGCGACAACAGACTCCCATAATAATAACCAAGTACTCCGAACTTCCTAAAGCAGTATTTGGTGGTTGTTATTTTTCCACATTCATCCCAAAAGAATGGACTTCGACTTGCCTCCTTCTCTCCCCGTGAGCGGCATCCCGTGGGACAGGGTTCTCCCGCCGTTAATCCCCCGGTTGAACGGGACGATTGGACCTTACTCGTGGACCCCGACTGAACTATTAATCCCGGTTTCCGAACACACCGGAGCAGCACAGGTAGCTAGATTATAAAAAATTCACCATGGTAACTATTAACAATAAAGCAAGAAAGTTAACGTTAAGTGACTTGGCTACTACAACTGTCAAGAAACACAATAATTGTATTAAACAATTATAATTAAGTGAATGGTGTTTTGAAGTAGGCCTAACTGGTACATTCGTAAAAATGACAAAACTAAATTGTAAGTAAACTTTTTTCGATATAAAATATTATAGAAATAATTATAGAAACCGCAAAGGACAAAAGGTACAAAAGCTGTCACTGGGCTGTACCTTTTCAAAAGGTACTTTTGTCCATTTTAGGGGCTAATATTACATTTTAAGTGTTAATATGTACAATTTTAAGTGTTAATGTACATTTTAGGTGCTAATATGTACATTTTAGGTGCTAATGTACATTTTAGGTGTTAATATGTAGCCTACATTTTATGTTCTATAAGTACATTTTAGTTGTTAATATGTACATTTAGGTGCTAATATGTACATTTCAGGAGCTAATGTCCATTTTAGGTGTTGATATGTACATTTTAGGTGCTAATATGTACCACCAAGGTATGCAGCCTTTGGGTACAAAAGTGTACCTTTTGAAAAGGTACAGCCCCAGTGACAGCTTTTGTACCTTTTTTTCTGAGAGTGTAGCCAAATAAAAAATACAAAGCTACAGTCTATAAAAAAAAAAAAAAAACTACTGTACGTTACAAGAAATGCCTAAATCTGTTTGATTGTTTTTCTCTATCTGCAGTAGGAGAATAAAAAAGTTAAAAATAGAGTTGAAACTGTAGCTATTGATTAAATTCACTTTCTTTTCAGGTTACCTGTGATCAGAATGGGTTTACTGTGGAAGTTGATGTGAAACACTTCAGTCCTGAGGAGCTGCTGGTTAAAGTGGTTGGAGATTATGTTGTGGTTGAGGGAAAACATGAACAAAAAAAGGTAAGATAGTGATGTATTACATGCTTTAGGATTAGCCGATGTTACCCCTGCAATAAAACACTCTGTGTAACTGGACATTCGTTCAATCCTAGGATGGTTCAGGAATGGTGACACGTCAGTTTAACCGGCGATACCGGATCCCAAATGGAGTGGACATCATGGCACTGGAATCGGCCATGTCACCGGAAGGAATGCTAGTAATCTCAGCACCTCTGACACAAGGAGACAATTCCAGACTGTTAAATCACACCGGACCATGATGCGCACACACACACACACACACACACAACAGGTGTTTGGATTCTTTGCTCTCTTAACATGGCTCATCTTTTCGGTTTCTCACATAATGCAATGGTAAAAAGACCAAAACAGACTCGCTTCCTCTCACTCCCCCTTGTGGCAGTGGACTCCTCAAATCAACAGCTAATTCCAAACATACTTGATTCCAAGCCAACAAGAAGATATGTGCATCTTCACACTTGCTGTCCATTTAGCACACAGCCTGTAAAAGTCCGCATGTTAACCGGATCCCCTGATCCAAAGCTTATACACAGTCAAACATACAAACTCAAATGATTTTGTTTTACATAATGTCACACTTGCTCACTGTGGGGATTGTACATATATTTTTTTTAAATTGAAATATTATGTTGTTCATCTAATATTTGTGTGATGTACAGTTTGAATATAAATAAATATAGTGTAACACTTGTTTATTTGCAAAGGTCTTTATTTAGAAATACATTCATACATGTTTGAATCCACAACATAAAACAGCATAAATAAATAGTAGCAAAAATAAACATGATAATGTGTTCGACACATATTGCATCCTTGATATATTAAACGTGTGGCTCAGAGCTGCTGGATCATCATGTCAACCTCACTGAAAAATAAAAAAAAAAATTAAAAAAAAATCAAGTCACTGAAGTTCCAGTATTTCAGTAATGCAGATTTGTGTAATCTGTCCAAACAGCGTTGGGGAAAGTTACTCTTAAAAGTAATGCGTTACAGTATTGAGCTACTCCCTTCAAAAAGGAACTAATTGTGTTACGCAAAGTAATGCACTACGTTACTTTTCCTCACCTTAATAAATAAATAAATAAATAAATCTATTTTGGCAAATGTAAAGGTTCTTGAAATAAATAAGCATGAAGCTGGACACAGGACACAGATTTTACTGTCTATGACACAGATGGAGAAAAGTTCAACACTCTTTTAGCAATAAAAACAAAATAATCAAACACAAATGTAATGTTTATCTACAGTAATTTTGCTGATTGGATCATCAAAGGTAAATGAACAGGTGTAAATTAACATATCGCAGGCTCTGAGTTTGTATTTCACTGTTTTTATTGATTTTGAGGAATACTGAATGTGTTTGTGTCTACATTTAGTCTACAATAATGTTCACACACAACGATTTCTCTCAACACGAGGACATAGCTGTCAGTCAATATGAGAAAACCAAGCAACTTGCGTTACTTGTTTGAAAAAGTCAGATATTCTGTTATAAATTTAAAAGTAATGTGTTACTTTACTAGTTACATGAAAAAAGTAATCTGATTAGGTAACTCACGTTACTTGTAACACATTACCTCCCCAACACTGTGTCTAACAGATAAAGCGAAGATATTCTCACCAAATTTGTTCCTTCACCCTTTTCCTTTGCTCTCTGAGGACTTGCAACAAAGGATCGTCTTCAAACTCCTGCCCATCTGAGTCTGTTATGCAAGATATGTGATATCAGGATAAGGGAAGAGTGAAAAAATGTGTTTCTATATTTATTTACACTACCATTCAATTATCTGGTACCAAACATACCATTCATGTTTCTGGTCAGTAAGTTTTATTTTTTGTTTTTAAGAAAACTAAATTGATAAAAAAAAAAAATTAAAAAATGACAGCAAAGACTGTAATAAATAAAAATGCTGTCCTTTAAACTTTTTATCTATAAAAAGAGGGTATGCGTGTGATGCCACCGTCGGCCGGAGTGCCTGCAGTTACTCACAGTGAGTGGCAAAAAGACTGAGCGGCTGTATTTGTTTTCAGCGTGAATGCCGGGAAAAACAAACACAACACATGTAAAGTGAGAAAGAGCTTTGCGATAAAATCGGATATTTTTACAGATTGCTATAAAAAGAGGAGTAGAGCCCGACCGATAAAGGATTTTGAAGGCCGATACCGATACAAATATTTTTGGGTTTTAAAATCCAATATTCCGATATATCGGCCGATATTTTGTTTTTATTAAATATTGTTGTATTTCACACACGTGTAAAAGAAAAGCGAACTTTTCTGCACAAGATACGTTTGATACTTTTTCTCTATGTCTAAATGTTCACTCCACGCAAGTATAACTTACATTTTACAATGCAGGGACTGTAACTAGAGATATGCTAGTTATAAATAGAGTAATCATTACTTTAATTAGGCAGAAAAAGTTCATGTGGTTTCCAAGCTCATTAATGTTAACGTTAGCGGTCTTCCACTGATGATAGTGGCATTAGCTTGCTTTGTGGTTAGCTAGTCTATGATGAGCCATAATTTAGCAATAGATAACATCATACTGCAAATTGCAAAACATACATTTTCAATATAACAGGCCAAGGAGAGATGATTGAAGCGAGTGTCGTCCGTTTTTATTTTATTTTTTAAATATTCATTTATCGGCCATTATAACTGCCGATACCAATATTATGGGAAATGCCTAATATCGGCCGATATATTGGTCTGGCTCTAAAGAGGAGCAAATGGATCGCTGCAATTCACAGAAACAACAGGACTCCAGTTAGCGAAAGGTGGATTTGTAGTTATCATTTTGTGTCAATATGCTGAATTTAGGTGTAAAACCATACACATATATGTTGTATTGTTATATATACTATATTAACAACAACTCATCAATTAAATATTTATCATTGCATATTCTACATTATTGGATGTTTTTAATAAACACTGACCAAAAAAAATAAAAAATAAAAAATAAAATAAAGTTTTAGGGCTGGACGGTATGATGATATACAGGGTATAAAGGCTATATATAACACTGATATAAGTGATCACCCGGATTTAGACCTACCTATATTGTATTTATATAATATAGGTAGCGATTTATGTTTTAGTCTATATTGCTTTTTTCCCCCCGGTGTCGAAATCAGGCAAACATAGATGTCATGCAACACGATTCCTGGCTGCATGTCAATATCCATGGGTCACTGGATCTTTAGTAAGTTGTAAGGAACACTACATTGAGTCCAACATTTAGTTTAAATTTATAAAATTGTTCGTTTTAGTCGCATTTTCCCCTATTAAATCCAGTCACGCAGCAGATCTTTTGCCACTCAGTCAGGATGAGGGGGGTTGTTCCGGCGGGAGAGTGGCGTCAATGCATTCCCTCTATAGAAAGAAATATTTCCTGAGCATCAAATTAATTTAAGTATAAAAGAAAACATATATTTTAAATTGTAATAATATCTTGCAATATTGCAGTTATATTGTATGTTTGAATAAATGCAGTCTTGGTGAGCATAAGATTAAAAAAAAACATTTGAATTGTACGATATGTTGTCATTTTCTGACATATGTATGTACTAGCATTAGTATAAGTTCAATCTACATTGAATTGTGTTGTTCGAAGCACACCTTGACTGGTCAATCGTGCTATTTATAACAGGTTCAGGCTAAAACACACAACTCTACTCTTACCTGAGCAGTTAAATACATGTCATCATACAGTTTTACAGCTGTCCTACCTTCTGCATCCTGCATGAGCTGATGTATGACCTCCAAGGGTTGCTGCACACCAGAACAAGAGGCAACAGGGGATTGTGGGGGTGGAGGTGGGGTATATGTTGGGGAACCTGAAGAACTCTCAGTTTCGCACAGGGTTGGGGAATTGGTCTCTGCAAAAAGCACCTCAGAGATAACCTGTCAATGTCAAGAACAGCGTGTTACGATTTTCTAGTCTGTTTCACAACAAAATAAGAGATCACGTACAGTTACTACTGTTAACTGTATAATAAACAGGATGAGATACAGCTAGTTGGTTGAAAATAATGATTTCACAATTAATTTTGATGAACTGATATGTATTCTTCAATCCCAAGAATCAATCTTTTAGTCTTCTGCTGTTTTCAGTTGATGCGTGACCAAACGTTAACATTATTTATAGTGCGCCTCTCACCCAATAATCACAATAAGCTTTGTGCTTTGATACTTTTAACATTAAACAGTCTAAGCTTTTGAATTGTCAATTGTATTACAAAATTCAAACAATAAATTATTTTGGTTGTGGCGTGACAGCTCACAGCACATAAACTGGGCATCACTTCTGATTTAATTATAGTTCCAGTACAAAATAAACATGAACATCCCGTATCATGTCACAGAAACAGCTCGTAAACAACATTTACCTCAGTAAATATAGAATAAAATTTGAGAGGAGTATTTAGTTAAATATAGACACTATTACACATAGATCATATTTTTACTTGATCTGTTCTTCAATATTTAAATTATGTTTGAAAAAATCTGTCATGAAAACTATTTAATGCAACCCACCAAATAAATATTTTTATAATAATGTTATTTTTTATAAAAACTGCATTATGCGCAATTTGTTTTCCTTGAGAAAAAACGCAATGTAATGAAACTGATAAATATCTAAATGAATTGATATGGAAATGAATTAAGTGAATAAAATCAAGACTTGAAATTTAATCTTCTTAATTCAAAAAATTTACATTTAATCTAATTTACTCATTTACAAACTAAAGGATCACGTGTCAACACCTTAAAAAAATTGTAAAGCGTCATAAGACAAACACACAAACCTGTCCTAGAGCATTGTGTATAGGTGAGGGTGGTGGTGCTTGATTTCCAGACAGTCTTCCTCGTGTCGACCTTTGACCCTCTTCTTGACACCTGTTTTTCACACCCGACTCTTCCGGCTTGCTATTGACCCCTTCATGACCCCTAGAATTTCTAGCCCTCATTGGAATGCTGCCTCGCTCGCCACCATGTCTAGAATGTAAGAAAATAGTTTCCAAATGTTTAATATTAAACATTAATAGTATAATTACATGGTCACAGTATATTTAGGACAATTATGTAAAACATCTGAAGTACCGTTCAGATTTTTTCTTTTGGTTTGAAGGTTTCTTCTCACGTCTCTCGTTTTCAGTCTGTCTTTTGACTTCCGGCCAGGGGTCCTCTGTGCTGTCAGAAGTCTGTGGAGATGGAGAAGAGGACCTCTTCGGTCTGCCGTGCTTTTCTGTGGTTTCTGGGATGCTGACTTGTGTTCTGATGTGCTTGTGGTGCTGTGGTTGGGCAGAAGGGGTTTCAAGATTCTTTTTGACAGTCTTCCTGGAGCGCTGGGGAAGGGGTTTGGGTTGGATATTTGGGTCTGGTTGCTCCCGGGTGGCATCAGGCTGAAGTCTGGAGATGCTGGGGCTTGAAATGGGGAGAGCAGACTCAGGGACTGGGGGTTCGAGGCTAGCAAAGGTGACGGGAGTGAATGAGAGGTTCGCTCTCTGATGAGGCGTGCTGTCTAAAGTGCTATGTTGTACCTTCTGAAAGCAAACAGAAGAGAATTGTATTCATAAAAAAATTATTTCAGAAAGTAATTGTGAAAAATCTGGTGTGTCACAGGTTTTATTTGGGTCCCATTTAGGAGGAAACACAATGTTAAATGCAGTGTATACAATAAATTTTTTTAA